TTATATGAAAGTGTTCATAATTCATTAATTTTAGTATATGATTTTAGTACTCATATGTGCTGGAGCTATTATATAATCTATTTCAACATTAATTTATTTTATTATATTACTGTATTGTCTATATTAAATTAAATAAGTTGTAGACAAATGCAGTCTACTATTAGGTAAAAACTTAAAAATATATATATATATATATTTATCAGTTTATCACCAATATTGAATAAATGTAAAATATTACACTGTTGTTATTCTATACAATGACTTTTGAACTACTCACTACCGTACATAATATACTTTACTAAAATATACAATATATTATACAATACTATAATATCAATGTAAATAATATAATGAAATAAACACCTTGCATGATTTTTTAATAACCAATGAATACGATATTATAATATACGATCATATAAATACATATATGATAATACCTATGCAGTTAATATTTAGATATAAATATTTTTAATTTTACAAGTTAAGTAATTTAATAATGTAAAAGAACATTTAAAAATAAACCAATAATTGTCAGTAGGTAGGTACCTATGTTTTGATAGTGTACAGTTCTACAGCAGATAATGTAAGTTTTGAACACATTAAAAACGTAATACAAACAATAGTAATAGGCACATGAAATAGTTTATAATATTTTAATTTGATCAAAATATTACTTTATTTGCTGGAAATTCTCAAATTTAGTTGTTGACTTCATCAGTTCATTTGTACGGATGTGATTTAAAATAAACATAAATATATTTATAATAAAGTCCAATAATTCATTATTTTAGTTGTAGCAGTTGTAGCTGTGTTTTATAGCAGTAAATATAAAAGCTCAAAAACTTTGTTTTAAAAGACCTGGCCGTTTATATATTTATGCACTACAAAAAAAACACGTAATTAATAGTATATCAATAGGTTTTAACTAAGTAATTTGTTAATATATTACTTCACTCAACGTTCCATCAATAATATACCTAAATAATTAATAAATATATACTAATATAGTGGTGTAATTATGGGAATATATCCCCCAGAGCCTTTTTTTTTTTTTTGAATAACCATTATTAAATTTCCGTAAACACTTGGCTTTAAAAGATTTTAAAATAAGAATTCATGGAGATCATCATATACTTATATCCCACCATAGAACCAATTCCAAATTATGCCACTGATACATATAACAATAATATATGTGAAAAGAATTTTTTTTAAATAAAAATAATGATTTAATTTTTTTATTTTATGAATAATAACATTATCGTTGAAAACTGCGTTGTATCTACCTATTCAACTAGGAAATTTATAATTTATACAGATATCTCAAATATAAATAATTATATAATATTGTATACAATGAATAATCATATAATACCTGTATTAATTATTAAATTATATTATAATAATCTAGTTGTCTAAAAGTTTTCTGGTTGTTGATTAAGCAATAGTTCAAATTTATCATAATTTATTTGGCAGTTTGGTTATACTCAATGTATACCTAACACCTATAAGAACTAGCACATCACCTTCATTGTTTTCGTAGATTTTTTCTATCTATTTAAAGATTATAATACAGTTTGATTAACACTAATTGGCTACAATCATAGATTATTTCACAAAAATTGCATCATAATATGTATAATGACGTTTGTGACCCAAATTCTCAAAAAGAAATACATATTATCTAAAAATAATTAATATTATAAGGATCATTCTTACTATAGCCATAACTATACCTACCACCAATATTATAAATTAGTAACAACAAATAAATATCAATAGTTTTATTTTCAAATATTTTCAAAAACATTCTTGCATTGAATTTTTAAGTAAAATAATTTATCTTAATAATTCTAAACGACAATATTTTTATTTGAATACAATTATCACATTCCAAAAATAATTTTGATCGGAATCAAATTAATTTTAAACGGTTTGCAGTTTAGATTTTTAAAATTGGGTTAAATAATTCGGTGTTATTTTTTAATATTGCCGTATTGGTAAAACAATTTCGTATTAAATATATTAGACAAATTCATTACATTTTAAATCTAAAACACCTATATGCTACAAATTATATTATTAGTAATATTCCAATAATGTTTATAATTTAAAATAAAAAAAACCCCGTTGACAAAATTAATTAACTAGGTATCTTAAATTATATAAAAATTTAAAAAAAAAGGTCATTATAGGCTTATGTAAACAATTCAACTAATTTTAATACAAGTTTTCTATGCTTATCTTTAATAACCTATGATCAAATGTATAAAGTTATTAGAATAAAGGTAGTAATTTATTAGGTAGATAAATTATTTTTTGTTTTATTGAGTTTTAATGTCTATTTTGAAGTGAGTATGTAATATGTATTATTTAAAAAAAATGGTTTATTATAGGTTTTGATTAATTAAATAGCAAAGAAGTTTTAAACATATATTTGTCCATTAGATATTTTCAAATAAATGTGTGTCTATGTGATCATATTTTGATAATTTTTATTTTTTATACGGTTTCAACTAAAAATTTGTTGTTGTGGAATAGAAGTAAATTAAAGTTTGAGTGGATTTTTTATCCTTAGTTACCTGCAATGACTACTCTATTTTACCTACATATTTAATATAGTATGTTCGCTCAAAAAATTTCAAACAGTACTAAATTTAAATATTTCTATTTAATGGTGATCAAGTTGAGCTAATGAAGAATTTGTTTTAATAGCTTGAAGTATAACTTTCCATTAATGAAAAAGTTGGAATAGTTTGAAAGGGAAACTGAAATGTTATATTCAAATTAATCAATTTTAAAGTTTATTTATAGTAGCGCATTAATCGTAAAAGTAAAAAAATGAAATTTATAGAACATATGAATACTTTTATTTGTATTATACATCCTTGGCACGTGAATATCGGAAGTACTTATACTCGTCATTCATAAGGGACCTTCCAATAGTTGGATTATCATCCGGAAATCCTAGTAACGTAGGCTGCGATTGCCTTTATTTCATAACGGGTGTTGTCAACTAATTTTATTGAATCGGTACGGTTAAGAAATGTATAATCTAATCGTTTGAAACTGGTGACCGGATGTCCGTGCAAAGATACCAGTTATACATATATTAAACATCCTATCCTGTTTAGTGAAAACGTTTAATACTATATTATTTTCAGCATTGATTAAAAATTTGATAGACAATAATAATCATAATTACGAATTTTCATCATAATATATTATTAGCTTAATGAATTGACTTTTAAAACAATAGCGATGTACTAAGAAACAAATAATTGAATTATTTGAATCAGCCTTTCAAGTACCTACTTTAGAAGATGATTTCCTCTTTCTAAAATATAAAATTGTCTACGTTTTCTTGTTCGTTTCGAAATTCCAAAATGACCGTGTTTTACAATTTAGTACTTATTATGCATAGTTAGTTAAAATTTGTAATCTAATAGCTGTTACAACAAACTGAGAAGTAAGAATGCATTTAATTTTTGATTATGCATTGCAAATGTCAAGTTAATAGTATTTTAGCAATTGAATTTACTAATTTAATATTAGTGTATTGATAATATGAAAAAAGCTCAACAGTTAATATAGTTCGATGATTTGAAAAAAAAACAAAATGTAACCAAAATATGTTCCATCGGCCATCTTTGATTCTGTAAAATTGGGGAAGCGATTCGTAAAATTGTACAAATGTCTAGTAGAATGAAAAATTACGACCAACGCGAAAAATGGTTATTATAGTATTTAGATATTTAGAACATATTTTAAATTGAACAAAATAAACAATCAAGCTCCTCTAAAACAAGTAAAGCTATATCTCCACTATAGGACTAGTATAGGTACCTACTATTAACTATCATGGGTAAAACCAAAAATTGTTGGACATGTAAAATATTTAATATATACTTAAACTTCATCGCCTTTAGGTCGTTGGGTGCGTTTTTTGTACTTTTTTTACTTACCATTGCTTATAGTGATGCATGTTTATAAGCATATTTTTACAAATATGCAAAAAATATGCTGTCTTATATGATGTAGAAATTGCAAGATGGATTTTATACAAAATAAATATCATAATAGGCGCAATTAAGGGGGGGCTAGGGGCCTGACCCCCCTATATATTTGCCTATCCCTCCCTTTTAACTCGAGGTGGTTCAACCATTACCTTTTTTAAACCCAAGTGTATTTCGACTAAAATAAATGCAATTTGACCAAATTCATAAATATAAATATAAATAATTGTATTTGTAGCTCATAATAAAATGAATGCATTCATTTAAAACCTAGAAATTTTAGTTAAAAAAATCTAAGTTTACATTACGCAATAAACAAGTTAAATGTGACAAATTTTAAAGGAATACAAGTTAAGTTTGGGCCAGGCTGGTCTTTTCTTAAATATTAAAAGCCAGTCGGGCTAAGTTAAATTTTCATTAATATGAATCAGCAGTGACGTGTTTACAGGGTAGGCTGAATAGAATCGGGCCTGCTCCCAATTTAATTTGACTGTTCGGTTTTTTTATTTTATCACAAGTATAAAGATAATTATTAATATTAAATAAATGAAATATATATGAATAAATAAATATTATTTTTTATTTTAAAATGTTGTTAATTTTTGGTTGTTTTCTGTTAAATGTCTATAAAAAAACTAAGACTGAAGTTATATTTCCTAATATATTACTCTGAGTATTTAATAAATATTGTTAAAATTGTTTACTTTTTTAATATTCTCAAAATAAACCATGTTACAATAAAAAGAATAACAGCCAAAACTGGAAAATCTTGAAGAAATCATTTTTATTAGTAATTTTATAAATCAATTAATAATTTGTTTTGAATCCATTTTTGTGATTACTATTTATTATTATTATTGTTGTTGTTGTTGTTGTTGTTGTTTATTATTATGTTTTATGGACGTTATCTTAACTTTACTTATAATTAATTAAAAGTTATATTGAATAAATGTTAATTTGATTTGTTTTGATTATTGTATATAGGCTTGTAGAGGATGCAGCAATCCATTTAAATGTGACTGTAAAGGAATTGTTGGAGAACCTGGTGATAAGGGTATTTTTGGACTACAAGGTTCAGAAGGAGCCCCAGGAGAAACAGGTTTGATATTAAAATCATAGTTGTATCTGTAATTTAGTGTTTTGTATTTACTTTGTGATTTTAATTTATCTTCTATTCACAAAAACATACTATGTTCATAGAATAAAATGAATTTATGTAATTCGTTAGGATACATTCCGAGAAAAAATAAATATTTATACTACCAGGTAGTAGGTACTGCACAATATAAAATAATGATTTTCGATATTTTCTCGTATAATATATACAATATTTTAAAATAGATACCTACTTATATTTTGGATATCATATTTTTATATCTTTAAGGAATGTCTAGTGGTAATAGAATCACTGAGGATAATAATCTGAGGTAATAAGCTTAAATAAATAGGGGTATAAGGGCTATTATAATTAAAAAAATTATGGTGCTAATTAATATCAATATATTTTTTACTATTATAAATAAGTGATTATTCATTTCATTTATATTTTATATTTTGTTGCAAAGTCATAATTAATAATCAAGTATTATCCTGAAAACACAAAGACATATTAAGTAGGTATTTTAAATTATAACTTAAAAACTATTCATTCAAGTTTTTAATTAAATAGGTATATCAGCATCTAAAAAATTACTTACTTAAAAATGTTCAAAATAAAAGGGTTAAAATTTTAAGATATAAATGTATGTTGGAAAATGACAATCTTTAAAATACATAAAAATAAGTACCTATTAAAAATATTTTGGTCTTTAACTTTTAAGTATAGGTACTTGCATCAATTATTATTTTTAATTGTTTAATTTAGTATTCAACTAATCATTTGAACATTTTGAATTGGTTCTATAAAATCACTTAAAAATAAGTTTATGACTTATACACTTTAGCATTTATAAAAATATTTCGTCTGTATGCGTGTTTTCACTGTTTTCCTTCTTATAAGTTTTATTAAAGTTATTTCTATAATTTACATTATTTACAACAAATTCCGATTAGGTGCTCTAACAATTAACAAACCCATTATATATTATGTCATTATTTTTATAATATTATAAATGTACAGATTTCATAAATCTAAAACATAAATCATAAATATTATATCATATTTTTAAAAAAAATAAGAAAACTAACAAAAATGTTAAGACATTCAATTTTAGTAAAAAAATTGTTTATAGCCAAAGTCCAAAAGTAAGACTGTTTGTATTTGTATCTCATATACAGGCTGTTGGTTGGGTTATGCCACTTACATGATACTATGAATCTTTAGCAATATAAGTAGGGTTGACATATCCCATTGAATAGGTATTTGTAAGTTCCATTATACTGATACTATAAAGAGCTACATAATTAAAAGAAACTAATGATTTAAAAAATAATTTAGTTTTTTATGGGGAAGTTGAGTTTCTTTTTTTATGCTCACTATTTCAATATTTAAATTTTATTTTTAAGTATTGAGTTATTAATTTATTATTAACGTTTTTTTAATAAAGATAAATAATATATAAATAATTGCTTATTATCTATCACAAATTTAATCGCATATACATACAGTGGCTTACAATCAGTTTATGTTTCAATTTTAGGTCCGGATGGTCCACCAGGAACAAAAGGAGAAAAAGGATCTATTGGAGAACGGGGAGATCTTGGTTTAAAAGGATATCGAGTATATATATATATATTATAAAATATAAATAAAACATTTAAAAAAAATATCAAACAAGTCTTAAATCACATAAATACATCATAAAAGCGTTAAACAATAAATATTGCACCTATATAAGGCAGGCTCGTAGCCAGACCTAATTTTAGAGCAGTGTTTCCCAACCGGTGGTCCGTGGGCCAGTCATAGGTGGTCCGCGGTACCTTTCTTCGTTTTCTATTAAAAATTATTATTTTTTTTTTAAACAGTGAAAAATATTTTATTTCACCGTAATATCGCTTGGACGTAAGTGACGACATATTATTAGTAAAGTTTAATAATTATATATAATAGCTAGTACCTACAGTAAAATAATAAAAATTAACATTTTTCGATAAATTTTGTGTATTCTTGCTAATAAGCAAAAAAAAAAAAAAAGGTTTTACTAGTTTGCGTAAATTTGAGGTGGTCCGCGACCTATAAAATATTGTCGAAGTGGTCCGTGGTGGTAAAAAGGTTGGGAAACACTGTTTTAGAGGGATATCATATATAAAAACAATATTAATTTCTTATATCTTTAGAGAGAGGGTTCAACGATTGGATATAGCGAGAGTAACACCCTCTCTTGTACCTCCCTCGTATCTACGGGTCTTAATACAGATTATACAATATGTTCAATTTATAAATCAAATTTTTCAAGTAAATTTTCGCTATGTTAAAATGTACCTAGTTTTATTAATGTAAATGTGTTTCAAATTATATTGGAACTTTTAAATTTTCAAATCATAAAAATTATAATGTGCTATTTAAATATTTGGTTAACTTAACCATCTCATAAACCAATCTAAACCAACCTAAAAAAAATAAGTATATATTACATCATTTTCAACGGTTATTGATTATGCATGACTTTGATTATAATTGTTAAATCAAGTTTCACAATTAAAATAGACTTAAATTGTTCAAAATATTAATAACTTTATTATAATAACATCGGTATTCAATTTAAAAGTGAACAAATTTAACACTTTTTCAGGGTGAAAATGGTTTACCTGGCTCCCGTGGAATTGATGGCGATAAAGTAAGGAACAATTGGTATTTTAACAATTCAAATTTGTACGATACGACTAGATAAATGCATGTTTTATTTTATTAGAATATTTATATTAATTATGACGATAGTATATTATCATATTATTATTATTTTATTATTCAACTTTACTTTTCTAGGGTTATCCGGGTGTAGTCGGACCACCAGGACTGAAAGGATTAGAGGGATGTAATGGAACGGATGGTCATGACGGACTTCCGGGCGAAGACGGAGTTCCTGGTGAGCGAGGTCTCATAGGACTTGATGGTCTACAGGTGCATATTATTATTAATAAATAGTATCTGTGAAAAAAACCTATTAAAACTAATACCTAATTAAAAAACTGGGGAACTCAGTCTGCCGTATATATACCTAGTGTATCTTGTCAATGAGTGGGTGGCTGTATTGAATGTAGTAGGAATTAATATAGACAAGAAAAACTTGTGAGGAATCTTATGTTAAATTTTCAATCCATAGTTTTTAAATTTTAACGATGATAAACTAAACAATGATTTGCAATTTGCAAATGTTCGTGATTCTGACAACATTTGTAAAAAATTTAACTTCAAATAGGTACTCATAAAAAAACTGTAGGTACACGTGTATTTTCTATATTTTTAAAGAAGAAAAACTTATGTGGGATCTTGTATTAAATTTTCAAGTATTTTGGCCAAGCCATAACATTATTCCAACTCCTTGAAAAACCTTTACATTAGTGCAATATTTTGAAAATTGTATTCAATACAGAAAATTAAAATTTAAGCAATAGGTAATGGAATGTTTGAAGTTTGTATGAGAATGTATGCTGAACTTTTATTTTGTCAATAAAAAAACTTGGGAATGATGTTTACAATTTTAAATCTTAGTTGTTAAAATTTATTCAATTTTTAATTTTAACAACTAAGGTTTAAAATAACTCAACCACAAAATTATTGATGTATTTTGGATGTTTTTTGATAACTGTAAGATGCTTATGGGCATCTTGATGTACACTCAATTGGTTGAATAGAAGTGACCATGATAAAATTAGTCAAAAATTGCTTGTATATTATTCTTAAATTTTTGTTTTAAATTATTTGTTACTTTTTACCCTCTCCTTCCGTAATAAATAATAACAAGATTAGATTTTTATTTGAAATAACTCTCAAGTCGGTGAAACATTTTTCTGTACCAAAAGATATATATATGTATGTATGTATGTATGTATGTATGTATGTATGTATGTATGTATGTATGTATGTATGTGTGTATGCATGTATGTATGTATGAATGTATGTATGTATATTGTTACAACCAAATTAATGCGAATCGTTTAAACTTTTAAAGACAGTTGAATTCGATTTAAATATTACATTAAGATTAATATAATTAATATATTTCAAAGCTAAATTTTTTAATTTTCAACGATTTAATTACAAATAGATAAGAATTTTAATTCATGTCATAAAAAAATCGATATCATGAAATACTCATTTATTTTATATTTTTATTATTAACCATAGAATATACTATTTATTTAATAGCTGGGATTCGACTCGAAGTTATGATTTATTACCAAAACAAAATAAATAGGGTAATTAGCCAAGTATACTCACCTCCATATTTTCCTTAAATGATAGATTTTTCAAATTCTAATTTTTGGGATTTTAAAACATACTTAGACAATTTTTTTAAATTTTGAATTTTTTGGTACTATCTAAGTAGTGTCCTGTGGCAATACAAACTTCTGTTCTTTAAATGACCACCCTCCCTTTTTTACTGTACATTTTTTTTTAGGGTTTTTTTTTTAGAAAACCAGGATTTACGTAATTAAAAATTTGAATGAGCAATTTTTAAGTTATTAAAATGTTTGTACTAAGGATAATAGTCCTTAAAACTGATTTTACAAAATTAAAAATAGATGTAATATTGTAATTCATATTTATTATACTTGAAGCATTTTTAAAAATTATTTATAGTGATAGATTAATATTAGTGATTAAAATTTTCCAATCAACAAAGCTCCTATGTCTTATAAATCCTTGTAGAGCTCAAAATAACTCATAAACCAAGTACAGATACGGGTTTTGATTCTGACATGTCAACATTTTCAGAAAAATTATCCACTAACTATTTACAATTGAAAACCCACTTTTCAATTGAAAAACAGAAGTTTTTAGCTTCATTGAACACTTGTCTAGTAGTAAAAAAATCTCAAAAATTTGAAAATATAGTCTTTAATATATTTAAAAATTCCAAAAATCAGATTTTAAATAAGTGTATTATTGAATAAAAAAGAGGTAGGTAAGCATGCTTGATGTTATGAATCACTCAGTATATCACAACAATAATTTATTACAGTTTGGGTTCGGAAGTTACAGGAGTTAAAAAATTTAAAAAAATTTAAATGTGTAAAAAATTGAATCAAAATTTCAAAAAAATACACTTTATGTTTTTATTAATTTTGTACCTACATAAAGATATGTAAAATGTGCAAATATAAAAAATAAATTCATGATATCTTAATATGATGGAAAACTGTTTGTATTTTGACATTTTATTGATCTGAAAAATTATTTAAAAAAAATTTAGCTATTCGAAAGATAGTTAAATTTATTAGAATATTAATGCGGTTTAGATTAAATTCACATCGCATCGTTTTCGTTAAATCAATAGTCGGCTGCAATACAATAAAATAAATACCTACTTTAAATAATATCAATTTTTATGTTCAATATTATTATTAAAATACACAGCTCAAGAAAGAAAAAGATCAATTTTCTTTTTGAAAATATTAAATACCTATGCATAATATGCGTATGAAAAAACAAAAAAGATTCATTTTTCCGTAAAAATTTATCAAATGCCTATGCAAAATGTAAATTTTTAAGCTTACCTTTGTACAGCTTGGATTTCTAAATTGGTCTGCTATAGATCGAGAACAATAATATGATAATATATTATGCAACTCCTATAACTTCTGACATAGATTATGTCCGTGAATGTTTCAATCATTATTTTCTAGGGATTACGAGGTGATCCTGGGGATGGAGGTGCAAACAGTAAAGGCCTGAAGGGCGAAAGAGGTGAATCAAGTTCGCCAGGAGAAAAAGTAAGTCAGTTAAAAATTGTATTATAGCATACCTAAATAATTAGTACCTATGGGAATTGTTCTTATATAAAAATAATTCATAGTAAATTCAACGATATCATTGTAAATAATTCATTAGGTGTCCGTAAATAATATAATATATAAAATCCCCACAGTGGCGGCACGACCAAGAATTTTTGGGAAACGTATAACAGGCGAAAAATTTGGTGGCTGGATATACCTAGGTACCTACTGTTTTACAAAACAGTGAGCACTGTGTCTGCAATTGTCGCCGAATGACTTATATGTGTTACTACATTTAAATATCATTTAGTATTTCAGAGATATAGACTAGTTATAAAATGTTACTGTTCCATACGCACGCCAATACTGAATTCATAATACATGGTAGGTATTACAAAGAAAACTGACTAATGAAAAAATTTTTGTTCTAATCGATATTTTAAATTTTTGTTTATATATATATTTATTGATTCTTGCACTTCACTTACAATAAAACATTTTTATTTTTACTTTTTACTGAAAATAAAAAATATTAAACTTCATATAAATTCTTTTTGAAAAATTTAAAATTACCAATTTTTAAATTTGATTTTTAGATAACTTTTAATTGTAGAAACACTAGAAAAATGTATGTATGCATTCTATTCCAAGGGGTTCATTTTAGTATTTTTAAAATTTCATATTTTTTTGGAATTACACATTTATTTTAAAAGTAATAATTTCTTTATAAAATTCTAAATTTTTATAAATATATACCTACCTACTCTCATAAAATATTTAAAAAAAAGTTTTTACTTTTTGAGTTAACAATGTTGACTGGATCAACTTAAGAGTTAACAAAAATGATGAGATTTCAAAATGTTTGAAATAAACTTTTTGACTTAATTAAATGATTTTACAGTAAAAAAAATGTTCTAAACCCAGATTTATGAATTGGCTAATTTAAATTTTAAATTTTGGTTTACAAAAAATTTAAAATGCGAGTATTGACTTAATCTTAAGTTATTTAATTTGTCATGTCTTCCTTTTATATAATATCTTATATACCTACTATAATATTTGTAGACTACTCACTACTGGAGTGTAAAAATATGTAAATCATTTACACTATAATATATGTATAGCTTTCATTATCTTAGCTATTATTTTTAATTTTTAATAAAAATAAATTATGATTGTTGTTGATTATTTTAAAACATGCTAGAAAACATTTTATAAAATTTAAATTTTGATACATTTCTCTATTTATAGGGCCAACCAGGATATCCAGGAATCGAAGGTGTACAAGGTGATATTGGTATGCCAGGAGTACAAGTTAGTAAAATATATTAAAATATTTTGTTAAGATTTTCTATTCGGTATATGAAAGTTTTTCATTTTTTTATGTAGCTTTTATGACATTATGCTTGATATTAAGTATTAATAAGTTAATTTAAGTTTTTTAAAACCATTAAAGAGTTATAATGATAAATAAGGTTTTGTATTGCATTCTAACTTAGTTTTATATGTTATAAGTAAACCTAAATCGTAAACCAAGGTAAAACCAAAGTTAGGCAAGCTTATGAAAATAATTAACTCAAGTTAAGTCAAGAAGACACATCATACATGATCATAAGTTGAAAATTAACTTTTAACAAATTATAAATTTAACTTGATAAGTTTAAAGTTAATATGGAAAAAAATATTAACTCAGTTTAAATATTCTATCTATTTTTTTATATTAGTATGTAATATGCTAGGGAGTAATTTTGTCTATCTAATATAATAACATATACCTATCAATATGTATACAAAATTATTTAATCAAGTAAAATAACAAACATTTTGTGTTATTAGGTATAGCGTTAGATTACATTTATTTTATATTAATATCTACATATAAATTTCAAAACGTTTTTAACTTAATATAATATTTTTAAATCGATTGACAAAATCTAAGGTAATTCAACTGTCAATCAAAGGCAATTAAACTAGTTAAGTTCATAAGTTGATTAGAAAATAAATAAACTAGTAACTAACTTTAACTTTTTAATTAGTCAATGGCATAATTCTGACCTTTGGGTAAAACTACTTTTTGACCTGGATGCCAAAAAGACTTTTATTTTTCACCCACGGGCCATTCAAAAATTATATATATATGTCAAAGTCAAAGACTACAGAGTGTAATTTAAAAAAAAGATTTTATCTTAAAATCATGTATTTAAATGAAAATTKTGACTTATGTGAATTGTTGACAAATGATCTAGGTATACCTTATAGGTATACCGTTTTTAAATTAAAATATTAAACATTTAACATTTTTGTGTAAACATACTGAGATATAATTATTAATTTGGTTATTGTTAATGTATTAATAATTCAAATTTAGGTTGATAAATAAAATAAACAATATATAATTTTTATATGATGCCCAGATGCGGACTGGAAGGTAAAAGACCCAGTATTCTACAACATTAAACAGTCCTAACCAGTCTCTATGAGAGAAGATTATCGAATATATATAAAATATTGAGTCGGTCTGGTGTACTACAATACACTATAGCATACCTGACCAGTCCGTCCCTGATGGTACCTACCTTTTATCCAGGCATGTAGTCCTAAAGTTATTTGTGAGTATGCTTCATATGTGGCAGCTTTTGTCATCAACCCAGGCCCGTAGCCACGGTGGGAAAGGGCGTTGCCCCCTTAAAAATATTAGACAGACATTGTTTTATATATAACGCCCCCCCCCCTAAAGTTTGCTTTGCCCCACCAGAAAATTTGGTCTGGCTACGGCCTGCATCAACCCCTCCACCTCCACCTCCTTTCAATTATATAAATTAATAACATATAATTAGTTATTATTTTATTAAGTTGATTTTAAATTATAATAACTTTAACAATKTAATTAATATTATTATAAAGTATATTTATTTACCTAATACATAATATRATAATACTTCTGCCAGCTAGTTTAAAACAATTTTTGTGAAGTGGGTATACGCATGTTTTTCAGCACATACTTCCAGTCTCAAGTTTTTTTCTTTAGTATGCTCTCTTTTAAAAATGTGGGTATGCGCCGCATACTCACGCATACCCTCCACTACATCCCTGCTTTTATCTACCTATATATTTAATATATTTAATATATTAATTAATAATATATATTTAAAGTAAATTTTGATGTGATAATATAGGAATTATTTTTAATTCAAAATATAAAACTTAACTAACCTGAATGCCAATTACAGGAATCACACTTTTATTTTATTACTATTATATAAATGCTTAATTTTAAAATACTTGTAATTAAGTACCTATGTTTTAAAATATTTATTATTTAAAATTGTATTGTTTAGCTATATTATATATTATATTTTAAAATAAATATTAAAGCTTTAAATGTTTTAATTAGGTTTAAAATGAAACTACTCACATTTTTTCAGGGACCTACTGGTGATCCTGGATATGATGGACTGAAGGGTGATGATGGTGACTCCCAACCAGGGCTTAAAGGTGAGTTGACATTAAATATTTAATTTGCACAAAATACCTGCCTATAATAAAAACTAAATATTAAAATTTAATATTTTTATTTACTTACCTATTAAATAATAATCGTAGAACTCATTATAATTATTCGTTTGCTTTTAAATGAATTGGTAGGTATATAAAGTAATTTTAAAAAAAATTGAATATTCATTAATTCAAAAAGTATAAATGTTTACAAAAAAAATATATTTTCATGATTTCTACTGTTTTTAGTTCTTAAATTTTTTTTTTACTTTTTTGAAAAATAACGATACGACGTCATACAGCTTTAATTTCATATTCCAAAATAGAATATTTTTCCAAGTATTTTAAGCATACAAATTTAATTTAGAATAAGTGATTTATGATTATGATAGTTATAAGTATTTAAAGTTTAGATAAGTGAATGGAATGGTACATGGTTACCCCTCAACAATTTGAACCATTACAATAAGTCAATAACTCTGCTCATCTATAATTTTAATATTTATAACTGGTAAACAACTCATTACTAGGGAATGGAATTGAATGCAAATTGCATTTTTTTCTGAATGTCCGAAAACATTAGTTTCCAAGCAAAAAGTTCATTTTATACATCAAAGAATTAAAAAATGTAACTTTTATTTTGCATTTTTAAAACTTTAATGCATTTTTTGAAAATTTTAGTGCATTTTGTGATTTTTAAGTCATTTTTTTCCACATTTTTTCTAAAAAAAAATTAAAATACCTAAATATGTATTATGTTACGAAATTAYGAAATTATTGTTGACACGTGTATTATGTTACGAAATTACGAAATTATTGTTGACACGTRTARACACAAAATATATACATDCAAGTTACAACAGATTATTACCCACATTAAGGTAAAGATAAGAGATAAGATACGATAAACTATTTATCTAAAGTTAATTAATTAAGGTTGTATTGTATTTAAATATTTTTTATTAGATTTATTTATATATAATAATGTGTATTTTTTATAAGTTTTAAATACAAAATTTTGTTTTTATTGAATATAAACCCATTTTTAAAGTTTTGTTAGGGCATTTTTGATGTTAAACCATTTTTTTAAGGCATTAAATCGTATTTTTTTAAGGCATTTTTCTTGTTTTTTAGAGCATTTGAATCCGGTCACTACCCATTACCAAATTAAATTTTAATAAATCAAAATACTTGAAAAATTTTTGCTTTTGAAGATGAAATTAAAACTGTATGTTGAAATTAAAAAAAAAGCTTTAAGGAATAAAATTTATCCTTTACTTGTTAGTTGTTAATATTAATTTTAAATAAAAATAAAAATGCACATAGGTGTTATAGAAATTGTATACCTACAGTATATTTCAGAGGTGGCAAACTTGCGGCTAATTAAAAAAAAACACTATTTACAATATTATCTATAAAATTATTAAAAATTAATTTTTTAACATTTTGGCTCTTGATATCATTATATTTATCCATGTAGCTCGTGGACGTATTCATATACGGTATATTTCAACATTATTTGGTCTCATCAACCATAGTTATATTTTTGCAGGTAATATTGGAGATGATGGAGATCGAGGAGAACCAGGACTCCCAAGTACAATATCTGAAAATGAAAAAAATTTGGATCCTCTTCCGGATTCTACTGCATACAAAGGGCTTCCAGGAGATCGTGGTCCAAGAGGAGAAAACGGAATACCTGGTCCCAAAGGTGAAATTGGCACTAAAGGTCTAAAGGTAAGTAAATTACTGTAATAAGTATTTTTTATAACTTCATCAATATAGAATTAAAAATATAATTATTTATTTTACTTTAAAACGTAATTTAAAAGTTAAAACTACACATCGGCGTAATTAGAAATTTGAACAAGGGGGTGCTTAAGCTCCTGATTTTTTTGTGACTTAATGGGACATGGGACCTAACTTTTTAAATAATACCTTAGGGCGCTAATTTTTACTTGGGGGTGCTAAGGACCTATGCTAACCTCCCCCCTTAGTTGCACCCATGAAATTACATAGTGTTATGTTATAAGTGAACAGGTAACTTAAGAGAATGTCAGCGCACTATTTGTTTTCTCTCTCTGACCCTCGCGTAACATAGACAAAACGCATTTATGAAGAATCATTTTTTCTATGTCTTTAAGTAATTTTAGAGTAAAACCTTCCATTACAAAAAAGATAAAGAATAATATTTTTGAGGGAATGACATATCGATTTTATATTTTATTGATATTTGACTTTCAAAATCAACAAAACAACACTGTACATTTAAATAATGTTTAAATTATTAAGAGACAATATTTAGACAAATCGATATGTCATTCCCTCAAAAATATTATTTTCTATCTCTTTGTAATGGGAGGTTTTACTCTAAAATTACTTCAAGATATAGAAAAAATGATTCTGCGTATATGCGTTTTGTGGTTTTGTCTATGTTACGAGTGAGCCAGAAAGAGAAAACAAATAGTGCGCTGATATCCTCTTAATATATTATACATAGTATACCTAGTGGCGAAGCGTCATAGGAGACATTGAGACAACGACACAATAACGTCTCACCCTTAGAAATTAGAATACGGGATAAATAATATTTACAAATTTAACGTAGTTTAAATTATTAATATGATTTATGTTTCAATAGGTATTAATATAATTAAAATCGGGTTTTCGTTGTACAGTTATAGAATTCTTAAAATAGATTAGATGCACGCAATACAGCTGTGCGTTCGAGCTGGCGATGCGGGTCATTCAAAATATGATATTACATCAATTTCTCCTAAGTAAGGGGACGAGAGTACTGGGGTAATTTTAATGTTAGTGAGATTTACTATCTTCACTGTGAAACGTGTGTCTCGCCGTTTGTATTACTTGTTCTCAATAATTGTCGATGTTGCCGTCACGTTGTAACGCCATCGTCCACTGAAAATTGTGATAGATACGTGTTTCTTAACATTTTTTTTCAACGCCTCCTCAACCGAAAAAAACTTACACCTCGCCATTAAGTATATCTATATATTAGTGTAAGTATGTGTGTAATGTTGATATTATGTCTAAACATACGTCGCATGATGTATTTAATGCATTTTCTGAATCGCAAAGTTCAATTGGGAAAAAAGTTGAAAAAGTTGATGCTAATTTGAAAAAATAAAATATATTATTCTGGTACCTACTTAAGTTATCTAAGATTTTTTTATTTAATTAAATTGAGTATTAATAAAACAATTAGGGACTAGGGATTCAAGCTATTAGAATTTTTTAGATCTGATTTACCCTATAATTTTAGTAAGTACCTACTAAACGAAGTAATGATGTAAGATCTAATGCATTATTATTTTTAATTAAAGGGTCGCCCTGGATATGATGGATTCAAAGGAATAAAAGGTAATTTATATAATATTTATTTATATAAAGGGTGTTTTATTTATATAATCAATGCTTCATGTGATATTATATTATTTAGATCTTAAATGTATTGGATGAAATATATAAAATATAATAATAGGTATTTAAGAGGACGCCACACCCGCGTGTGTTGTCTTCGTCTTTCAAGTGCGTAACATGGCAAGTTTTATGCCCAGCAGTTCCAATTTAGCTCCGTTAGTTTACAACTTAAAGTAAATTAAAAATACTCATAAGTTGCTTCAAAATTGAAATATAATAAAAAAACCTCAGTGAAAACTTAGATAATGATGTTACCTTTAATTCTTATAAGAGGACAATTTACTCTAAGTTGTAAACTAACGGAGCTAAATTGGAACTGCTGAGCATAAAATTTGCCATGTTACGTACTTAAAAGACGAAGACKGCACATGCGGGTGTGGCGTCCTCTTAATATTTATGTAAAATGTGGAGTAACCAGTGAATACAGGCTCGCAACACTATAGTTGGCCAATTTACTCAATGCGGAAAAACAGTATAGGTAGTAGGTAGGTACACCAATGTACAAGAAATATCTTGAAAATAATAAATACCTACTTACATAACACTCGAAAACAATTTCTATTTTGAGAAGGATTTTAAAGAAATAATTATAAGTTATGTGATGATTGGTGATGTAATTTTCTAAATCTATCTGAAATACAATTAAATGATAGGTACGCAAAAATACAAATATTTTATGATATATTTTACTGAATATGTTATGTTTGTTATATTTAATGCATTAATATGTGTAGATTTGTAGTTCTGAGATTTATAATTAATAATTTTTTGATGTAACAACAGTATTGTAATATTAGAAAACTGAATCACGACAACATGAGTTAAAAAGTAATGTTAGAAAACAGTTCAACTTGAATTAAAAGTATTAAATAAACGCTAGAGTAAAGTTAAAATTAAACTAGTATACTCTGCAATATAAAAATGCTGATGTGTATATTTTAGGTGCACAAGGTAATGTAGGTCAAAGAGGAAAAGATGGAAATGTTGGTCAATTTGGTCCAAGTGGCATGAAAGGTAATATTAAAAAACCAATATTATATTTTCACAAGTTCACAAAAATATACCACCATGAAAATTATGTACAGGCGATAAAGGAGCTCCAGGATACTCAGGATTAGCAGGCGAAGATGGACTTAAAGTAAGTGCAGATACAATAGATATTTTATTAAATGATGTATTTTATTACTTTTTTGATTTTACTAGACGTAAATTGTTAATGATATATAATTATAAAATAAAATACACATCCACTTATTGATTAATTTGTAATAAAGGGTGAAATTGGTGAACCTGGACGTGTAGGAATTCCTGGAGTGCAAGGTGGTGAAGGAGAACCAGGCATATATGATCCTAATTTAGATGAAATTAGGAATGGTTCTGAAGGACCTCAAGGACCAGTTGGTAAGTTGTTCTACTGATATTACATAATTATGATATGGACACAATTAGCGATGGGAAAGAACTCATAAATGAGTATTGCAATACTCGATACATTTGAATAAAATAAGTCACGGGTTTTTTCTTAAAAAATGTTATTTATACATATAATTCGTGTAATTTTAATTAATTAATAAAAACAATAAAATGTAATAACTAAATTTAAAATAAAAAATAATTTTCTACAATTCTGCAGTCAATACATATTCATCAATGAGATAAGTGAAATAATTTAGTTATATAGACTATAGTCATAGATATCGGTTGATATTTGGAGGTAAGATTTTAAATTGTTACCTCCAAAGGATAATCGTGTTTTCATCGGCTTCGCGTGATAACAGTTCGAAATAACGATAAAAATAAGTTGTTGATAATGTGAAGTAAATACTAAATGTTCTAAATATCATTGTCTTAGTTTTAATTACTGTTTATTAATTCGAATGTATAAAATAATTATAAACTCGACCAATCGTCTATATTATAAATATAATATATAAATTTAACAAATCACTATGTTAAATAAATAAATACAAATGTAACTGTTTAGGTCCTGAAGGTCCCAGAGGAGAAGATGGATTACCAGGAAGGGTTTGTTATAATTTTAATTTAATTTTAAATTTTAAATTTATATTATTTATATAATTTCAGATTGRTCAACCAGGAATTGTAGGACCACCTGGTGAACCAGGACCACCAGGTAATAATCCTTAAAATAATTCATAGCACTAAAATATTGAAAAAATAGTTATGAATTTTATTATAATTTATAGGTATTCCTGGATCAAGAGGTCCAAAAGGATTATCTGTAAAAGGAGAACCAGGAGTTGAAGGTAAGTTATGTTTTTACATTTTTTTTAAATATAAATTTGTTGACTACCTACTAAGATTTATGAAAATAGAAATAAAACATTAGAAGCTAAATAAAAAAAACAAAGTATGCATGTAAAAATATTAATAGGCTGGTATATTCAATGCAATTTTTTTTTGATTACATCACATTTTTTATAACTACAAATATGATTTTATTTTATCCAACTTGATTCATACTTATAAACATTACATACATATATATAAACTGAGATAATTAAGTAGTCTTAAGATTCGTCAATTCTTATTAGTGATCAAACTTTATCATTGCCTATTTGGCTATGTAGTATTTTATAATAATTATTGATTTCTATGTAAAAGGTTTTTATGATTCAGGTGCATGTGAATGGATTTATATATTAATGAACGCAAGTAAAAATGATTTGTAGGTCTCATTTGAAAAACATGTACACAAAAATCTTATTTATTTTAAACTATTAAAGTACCTTTATAAATTTTTTAATTATCTGATATAATAATATTAGTAACCAGTTCACATGATCCATTCATTTACAACTTTCTTTATAATTCAATAAAACTTAATTATTATATAATCTATTTGATTTATTTTTCTTCTAATCTACAGTATAAGTAGACATATGGTTCAAACAGTGTTGGGTGGTAACGTTCCAAAAATAAAGTGTTACCGTAACACGCGTTACTTTGCTTGTAACACATCATGTAATTTCATTACAATTATTTCCAAGTAACAAAAATGTAATGGAAATTACTTTTGACAAGTCACAGTTTCTAAATATGAAGTACGAATTTTCCTATTGTGAAATGATAAAAATATTTACATGTCTATACTTAATAATGCAGGTATTATTATATTTACCAATCTAAAATGTATATATATATACATATTTTATTTTAACTTGCCACGATTCAATTTTTAATGGTTTTGACATTTGACATGCCTAATTGCACTGTAAATCACGAGAACGGTTAATTAAATTTATTATTTAATTTGATTCCTATAAATAGGTATTTTCCTCGAACGTTTCCTATGAATATCTAGCGTGAACTATTAAGTTTTATAAATTCACTCCTATTAACTATACAGATATGCAATATTATTTTTCTGATAATTAAATAAAATCGAAATATTTACATTGCACCATTATAAATCATTATAGCCATTTGTCATTTATAAGAAACAGTTGAATGATCTATTTTAATCAGAAATTGATGCAACTCCAACTGCCCATAACAGTGATGAAATTTGTTCAATATAATCTCCAGGTGAAGACGATTCTCTTCAATTTCTCTTTGATGATGAAGGCGTTGAAGACCATATCCAGAAATTGAAAGATTTCTCGAGGCTCCTTATACATCTGATCTCACAGTTTTGAATTCAATGACATTACTAAAGAATATTTTTATTAAATACAAGTTACAACACAGCTTTATAATCCAGTGCTTCTGTAGAGCGATTATTTAGTGTTGCAGGGGACATATGTTCTAAAAAAAGATCCCGTATGAGTGATAAAAACTTAGAAGATACCATATTGTGTAAAGTTAATTTAAAAACAAATAAATAATAATATTGTATTTTAAAAATTAATGAAATAAAGAAAAGGTTTTAATTTATTTATTAATTTATTTAATAAGTATAGGTTTATAAAGTAAGTTTGTGGCATCAATACATAATACTTGCTATATAATGATTGATTACTATTAATAAGTAGGTAAAATATTACTATTGTTGTGTAAATATGTATTAACTATTTACTGTACATATTTTTCAAATTATACTTTTTTACTTCAGGTAATGTGTTTTTGATTACATTATTGCCTGCCGAATGAAAATAGCTAAGAAATTGAAAAAAAAGTATTTTTTTTTATGTAACGAAAAAGTAATGACTTATGATTTACTTTTCTATTTGAAAAATAAAGTAATTTCATTACAATTTTATTTGAGTAACGAGTAAAATTTATGTCTAAGTAATGAGTAAAGTAACATAATTATTTTTTAAAAGTAACTTACCCAAAACTGGGTTCAAACCATTGAAAACTACATTTGAATGAGATGAAATTAAATATATATACAGTGGCGGATTTAACGGTTGTTTAGTTGGCAAATGCCGACGAGGCCCCCTCCTTAATTGTGTACTGAGGCCCACCTAAATTATGAAATTGATTTTTTTTAATTTTGACAAAAAAAAAAAATGTATATTGCAAACTGGAATATAATTTACTATTGTTTTATTAATAAAATAATTTAAGTATTTAGAAATACTTCAATTGTTCAATATGTACGTAAATTTAAGTTATTCAACATTCTCAATTCTACGTAGTGGACATTGATCACAAATAATATTATTTATAATAATTATAATCGATGTTACAGCGTAATCAATTTCGCTGCGTCGGTTTTCCCATACAATACAAATATTAGTATACACCATAGTCATCATACCAATTATTAGGTACCTACTTTGTTATCGTGGAAACTAAAATAACCATCTAGTATCAACAGTCATTACTCATTTTGAGTTTGTAGCTATGGTTTTGTAAAATAGGGGTAAGTATGTTACTGAAATTTTTTACGAGGCCCCTCTTATGGATTTGCCGACTTTATTTAAACCCTTAACTCCGCCACTGTATATATATAATAATACATACATTCATTTGTATACCCAATAAGTAAAAATGGTTATGCATTATTTTAAGATATATAAATTAGTAATTAGTTATTAAAAGTAATTTTGATTACATCAAAATAATTCTAATAAAATTACATTCCTCGCTACTTATATAGTAACTTTGTGGCGTTAATTTTTTCACAGAAATCTGTTATTTTATTACGGTACCCATTACACATTTTTTTAAATTTTGTTTTTTAAACAATAAGTACTGGTTAATAAATAATAACTACTATCTAATTAAAGTAATATTTAATAACTATCAATGGTACTGATTTGAGACCATTTATATGTTATATAATTTGAATATTATTTTAAACATGTTCAGTATTTCTCAAAATTCCTTATTTAAGCCTTTAAAAAATGAATGATTAGCATTGACTTAATATGAGTAAAAATAATGTTAAATAATATCAATAGGTATATAATTTGTGTTGATATAGTTTTAATTTGTTATTAAAGGTTTGGCTGGACCACGGGGAGAACAAGGACCTCTAGGAGTTCCAGGACCTGTTGGCCCAATTGGTGAAAAAGGAATTCATGGTGTAACTGTGTTTGGGCCCCCTGGTGAAGATGGCCGCATGGGTAAATATTATAATTTGTTATTAGTACATACAAAAATAGAATTATATTATTGAAATATCAGAAGTTTTAATGAAGAATATGACTTGCATTGATAACAAATTGTACTTTCATACTTATAGTGTACAATACTTACAAATATAACAAATTTTTTTAGGTCGTGATGGTTCTCAAGGACCTAAAGGAGACCAGGGTGATCAAGGATTTAAAGGTTTGAAAAATCGTGCTTATGCATATTTGTTTTGTTTAAACTTAAAACTCAATAACACAGTAAATAATTAATTTAATGCATGCGCCTATTAAATATCATACTCGACTAATAGTAAATCAAAATTTTTTGAATACACCTAATACCTACAGCTAACTAAAATTAATTTGTGTTAATTTATTCTAAAATTGTTCATAAAAAAAATATTAGGTTATTATTTTTTGAGTCAAGTACCTTAATTTTAGAGAGAGATAGAAAAATAAAGAGAGTTTTGAAAATATAATTATATTTTAAAATTACACATTCTATTTTTAGGACCAAAAGGTTTCCCCGCAACACGACCAGGAGAACGAATTGTTGGTCCACGTGGAGCTCCCGGTATCCCAGGATCTTCTGGTATACCTGGAATGCCCGGTTTTCCTGGTAAGAATTTATTAAAACATACTATATTGTGTTAGTTTTATTATTATTATAAATAATATAAAATGTATACTAAACAACATTTATTTTCAGGATTTCCTGGTAGAGATGGATTAAAAGGACTTCCGGGAGATGATTGTGGCTACTGCAGTCCAGGTTAAATAATACTATTATCGGTTAAACTATTATCAAACATCTAGTGTTATATAATTTGTTTATGTTATGATTTTAATTTATTTACTCAACTCTTAAAATACTGTATTTATAATTAGATATAGTTTTTACTTTGAAAAAATATTTAAAATTTAAAATAAATGAATATAAGAGGTATTTAACATGTCACATATGTCAATAAATTATTATAATTTTATTATTATAGCTCATCAATACTTTTATTTTCATAGGCATTGATGGACCGAAAGGTGATGTTGGAGTTGATGGACAAAATGGTGCACCAGGAGCTCCAGGTAAAAATATTTACAAATATATTTTGTTCTATCACTCTGGAATAAAATATAAATTATAAGAAATATGAATTACCAATAATATTTAACAAATAACTCAGTTCTGTACATGTAGCAAGTTAAATTAAAATTAAACTTTTGATCCCTTTTATATTTATTTAGTCACAAAACTGATGATTGTTTGATTCATAAAAAATTTTCTAGGACTTGCTGGTTTAAATGGATTACGAGGAGTTAAAGGAAAGATGGGTGCACCTGGATTACCAGGTAAAATTAATTTAAATTGTGCTTAGTGTTAAACAATTTTTATCTAATATTTTTTTATTATAATTTGTATATCTGTTAGTGATATAGTTATTTCATTTTGGATTATTTACATTTATAGGTTATAAAGGATCATCTGGAAGACCTGGGTCAACAGGTTTGTATTATATCATATCATTGGACATAAACAATATGCAAATAAAATATTTTTTTTTGTGAAATTGACTGAACTGAAGTTTTTTGTTAGGACTGGCTGGATTACCTGGAATGCAAGGAGAGAGAGGAACACTTATATACGAAGATTCTAATACAGAATTAATACCAGGTGAAAAAGGTCCAAAAGGATTCCCAGGCAGAGAAGGCGATATGGGTTCAATAGGGTATTTACGTGTATTTTATTCAATCATTTAATTAAATCAACAATATCATAAAAATATAATAATAATATTGGACGTAGTTATAAATCATATTTTGCCCAAATATTTTAAAATAGTTTGATTATAATTTTTATATTTTACAGCTTGCCTGGACTGCCTGGATTACCTGGCCGTATGGGTAGAAAAGGAATGAAGGTAAATCAACATTTAGCATACTTCATAAATCAAATAAAAATTAATAACAAATTTATTTAAGTAAAAAATATTCATATATTTTAATTCTATCACACATAATTAGGGACATTATGGAGATTCAGGATTACCAGGTACCGATGGTCGTCCTGGAGAGCATGGTAGAACTGGATTAAAAGGAGACCCTGCTGATGAATTAAATCCTGAAAACTTAAAAGGAAACGAAGGGTATGTTATGTTATAGATAAAAAAAAAAAATAATTGTTGCAAATAAATAATAGTAACAAGTATATTGAATATTTAGTATTATGATATCTTTAATTTATAAATCTACAATGATTATCATGTTATAGGTATCCTGGTATTTCTGGAACTAAAGGTGAACATGGTAATCCAGGTGCTGATGGTGAACCTGGTGATAGCAGTCAATATACCGCTACTAATATAGGAGAAAGAGGCATTAAAGGCATACCTGGTGAAAAAGGTGTGATATGTAAAATAAAATATATTGTGATATTTTTATAACTTCAGTTCAAATTTCTATTTTAAGGTCAACCTGGAAGTAAAGGACAGAAAGGAGTAGAAGGAGATCAAGGTATTAAAATCACATAACTCTATAAAAATAAATTATAGCATGTTAATGTTTTATTTTTAAAGGTTTTGTTGGATTTGCTGGCGCAGCTGGTCCTCCTGGTATAGTAACTGAAGGTCCTCCCGGGTTAAAAGGTATTAAAATGAATATTAAACAGCTGTAATCATGCTATTCTAACCTAACTGTTCTCTTTTTGTATATTTATTGTTTTATTTAATTTTAAATACTCTAACAACTTACAATTTACTGTAAAATTATTTATAATAGTACATACTACATAGTATTATAGTAGAGTACAGTAGCGTACGCAAGAGTAGAGTTCTAGGGTTCTCTAAGGTTCTGAACACTCCCCTCCCTGAAATTACTCCTATTTAAAAAAAAATCTTATTTACCACCATTTTAATGCATAGGATCAATTAATCGTTGGTAATTTTTAAAAGATATAAAATACATTTTTAATTTACTATTTATTATAATTTGTTAAAATTATAAATAGTAATATAAAAACTGTTTAGCAAAAAGTAATGTAAATTGTTTACTCTTCATACGCAAAACAAATATCTCAAACACAAGTCATAACACTCATAAATGTAATGTATTTATTTCATAGAAATTTATTTTTAAGCAAATAAGTTAGTATGACAAAAAAAAAAAAAAACAACTAATTGATTAGAAAATTGTTTTAATACTCTTATAGGTATTTTGAATTCTGATCAACCATTTTATCTAATTTATTTACTATTCGAACTTTAACCATATTATCGCTGTATTGTAAATTGTAGTTGACACATATTTATTGAATATTTTGATGCGCATATTTACAAATTAAAAAATAAAAATATTTTGCAAATTTTTACCTTAAAATTGTATTACATAATCATTTCAAAGAACTACATTTTTCTTAAGTATAATATTGTTTAAAATTTTTAAACCAGCATAAGTCCAAATGGTTTTGGATAATGTTTTTGTGCCGTTCATTCCTGTTGATCAAATATGATTCAAAATAATATCGTATATTTTTATGAGTGTGGTTTTTGATTGCTTCACTAAGGTTTCCATGTCAAACAATCTAGTTATCTACTAAAATACTATGTTCTCAACATGCATGATGACATGCTTTAAATTTTAAAAATCTGTTCATGAACTATCACAAAAATTCAGATGTCTTAATTAAAGCCTATGACATTTATAGGATATCCTGGTACTATGGGCGATCAAGGATTAAAAGGAGAAGAAGGAACTCCAGGAAAACCAGGTCCTATTGGATTACCAGTATGATAAATATACATATTTAAAAACCTTTGAATAATTAGTTAAATAAGTAAACTTGATAAGCTAGATTGAAAACAAAATCATAAGAATAGTTGTTATTGAAAAACTTATAGGGTCCACCAACTCAAAAAGGAGATCGTGGAGAACCAGGTCAAAGCATATTAGTTGGAGAAATTGGTGATCGTGGTATTAAAGGAGAAAAGGGTGAACCTGGAGAAGAAGGGTATGAAATAAAAATAGTAAAAATAAATGTAAATGTTTAAGAAAATTGTAAAACTCGGTGTAAAATTTAATGAAAATATTAATATTATAGAAAAATTGATAGATGAAATTACATTGTACATTCTAAATCATAATTCAGAAAATTCAATATTGTAATCTACCTGCTTGCATCTATTTTTAGATTCTGCGCGGAGTGAGAAATGTATTGATTTTACCATGTTATGTGTTTTTTTTTCAATTTTTAATTTTTTTTATAAGCATTCAAAGTTTGAATTTTGATAAAATAGATAAAAATCACATCAATTTGCAAATTATTTTAAGCTAGAAATTCATAAAAAATTTTCTATTTAAATCTAAGATTTGAAAATTTAATACAAGTTTCCTTACAAGTTTTTCAAACTTTATCACAAAAAAAATGTCCACCAGAAATTGAAATTAAATTTTTATGGGCGTTTGAAATTTAAATTTTTACAATATTGGATTTTCAGTAGATTTAGCGATCTTATTTTGGCCTAACTCTAACACAAATGACCGCAGATACTTGAAATTTTMACTGAATATTTATATAGGCATTTTCTATATTTGATAAAATGAGCTATTAACTGACATTTTAATTTTTCAACTTTTTAGTTTTTTTTTTCTGTAAATATCGATATAAATTTATTTGTTGGGTGGAAAAGTTTGAAAATGTAATTCAAACACCTAACACATTATTACAATAGCAGCTGAAAAATATTAAAAATACATGGACACGGTTTTTTTTTATAAGCATTTAAAGTTGAAATTTTGACTAAAGACGTAAAAATTACGGTAATGTTCAAATTATCTTAGATAGAAATTCATAAAAGTTTTTCTTTTTATATCTAAGATTTGAAAATTTAATACAAGGCTCCTAACATATTTTTACAATAGCATTTGAAGAATAAAAGAAATATATAGTCACAATTTTTTTTTTATAAGCATTCAAAGTTTAAATTTTGACAATATTGTAAAAATCACGAAAATTCGCATTTATTGTTCTTTTTAAATTTAAAATTTGAACATTTTTAATAATCTATAATATATCCTAGACAAATAAACTGTCTCCGCTCAGAATCGTTTTTCGTATACAATGATATAATATCATTGGATTCAAATTTAATTTCATCCATTGACCATTACAGTAACTTGTAACCTACTGTACAGCAGAGCGACGGTAGCCGCGTCACATCCATGACTTACTCGATTTTTTCTCCTTTAAATAAATATACTAGTCTCTACTAGCATGTATTTGTACCGCTGTACTTTAAAAATATTACAAAATTCCAAATATTTTTTAACTATAAATTGAGAAGTTGTTTATCATTATCATATTTATTTTTTAATGTTTATAACTGTACTAATAATGTTTTAATTATTTACAGAATTGAAGGCAATAGAGGTTATCCTGGTTTAGATGCAGAAGTTGGGCCAAAGGGTCAAAAAGGCAGTCCTGGGATTATAGGCCTAGCTGGAAGACCGGTAATCTAGCTATCCATAATTATATGATTTAAAATACAATTTTAATACATTTGAAAACAAATTACTCAGTTAAATATGAACTGTATAGTCTAAAATATTACATATTATTAGCTTATGTAAATTAAAACTACATGTTTCTTTTAGTTTTCATATTTTATATGTTTAAAGTGATTAGTTTTTTTTAGTATATTATGATGTTATATTGTACTATATAAATTTATTAATTCAGAGATAAATCTAGGGTATAAAAGGCGAACGAGGAATATCAATTAGAGGACCTCCTGGATTACCTGGAGCACCAGGATTAGCTGGTTTATCAATTGGTTTCGGTTCAGTGGGCCCAAAAGGTATGCAAATATAGTTAACAGGTTTATTTTTTTGAATAACAGTACAAATGGAATCTTATATTTAGGAATTGATGGTGAACCTGGTTTAAATGGAACTAAAGGCTTAAAAGGAGAATGGGGATTAGTTGGTAAGTAAATAATGAACATATTTCTAATATAATTAAAATTTTAATTTAATATTGTTTTTAAAAATATTTTATTTAAATACTAAACGATAAACTGAACTTAATCTATAGTTGATATACATAACCACATAGTTAAAGAATTTACTATAAGTAGTACAATATTTATATAATGTATATAAAATTAACACAATGATAAACTTAAACGAAACTGAGTTACATTATTGTCAATAATTGTGGCATATTACTTTTTCCTATTTTAATAATGTTTATTGAAATTTACACAAAATGAATTATAACTCAATCAAGTAACATAAATATGGAACTTTATAATAAATTAAATGTATTTCATGGTGAATGTATTTTATTTTTTTTTTTGCATTTACAGGACTCAGAGGAATAGATGGTGATCGGGGTCCGGAAGGTAAACAAGGAAGAAATGGACAAATGGGAAAACTAGGTACCTATTATGCTTAATTAATATAAAAAAAAGTCTTAGCTTGTACTTCTGAAGTAATCTATATTTTTTATGAATTAAGTACATAATTATTATGAAAAGTGTGTTATTTATTGTAAGTACATAAAAAATTATAAGTGATGAAATAATTCAGTTATAAACATGGACTTAAATGTTTCAAGAATACTAATCAGTTATTATTATTTGATTCTCATTGTTTTGAGTAATACTTACTTCAGCTAAATTGGGGTTTAAAACTACATTTTTTAGATCTTTAATTTTAAAATGTTCCATAAGTCCATTAAATTGTGTGTGTATTGGCCTTATTTACAGAATTTAAAAAATGTTCTGAATGATTCACAGTTAAATTAATATGACCTGATTGTGGTATGATTTCTATTCATTCTGTAATAGTAGTTAGTTTGTAGTCTCCGGTAAAAGTTCTCTTTGGGTAGTTGGAATTAATATATTTTTATCTTGGTTTATTATTTTAAATTATATTAGATTACGGGAGTCCCAGTAGGTTACACACCAACAAATTCCCAATATTATTATTGGTGGTTAAATATTCAATAATCATAAAAATTATATCTACATGTTGGATTTTTTATTTACAACATAGTGAAATTTAGTATATATGTATACTTGTTTAGATATTTGAGTTATTTTAAAAATATTTTTAAATTCATAACTAGCCACCTACTTATGATATACATAATATATAATATTGAAAATTCCAAATGCTATAAATTATTTCAAAATTACCCAATTTCTGTAATAGCACTAACTCAAAAACAATAATTATATTAAAACCATTGTTCATCTATTGTAAAAATAAATATACAATAATAGATATTTGTGATATATATGTAAATCGTACCAATCTTCTGAATTTTTTTATCATATTAACATTTTATAATTATAATAATTTTAATGATAATATCTTTATACTAAGAAGTAAGAATGATAAAACAAAAAAAAATATGCAATATTTTAAGCTTCATTTTTACTATTTTAAGGTGATACTGGTCCAACTGGTGATACTGGCGATAATGGAATTCCAGGTATATAATAAACAAAAATATAATTCAAATTTCTTAGTTTTTAAGATATTGAAAAAAAATCAATATTTTTATCCAAATATATCAGAATGTGCTTATAAGTTTTTCAGTTAAAAGCAAACTCATTATATTTTTTATTTTTATATTTTAGGACTTAAAGGTTTTGATGGAAGACCAGGTATTTTTGGTCAAATCGGTGAAAAAGGAAGTATGTATAAATTCACTATTGGAAAATAAGTACATTATACAAACACATTATGATATTAAAAATAATTAAATTGTATGATGTGATTTAAAACATTTATAGGCCGTGGAGATTTTGGTATGGAAGGAGCACCTGGATTAAGAGGACAAATAGGTGAAAAGGTATTGTAATTTTTTAAATTATAACACCAAATTAGTAATCTTAAACTTTTTAATAATTTAGAATTTAAGAATTATTTGAATTATTTGATCACATTTTTTACAAAAATTATGCTTAGGTAATTTCTGATAGAATACAAGTGAATACTTATTGGAAACATAAAATATTATCTTAATATATATATATATAAAGGCATTAAACATTATTATACTAAAAACAGTTTTTTGGTTTAAAACTAAATATTAATCGTAGCTCTAATATTCAAATATCTACCCAATGCAATGTTATACCTCAGGGTGTAACAGGAATAGCTGACTAAGCTAACCATATAATAACTTTTATTCTTATTAATATCACAATTATTTAATTTATAATTAAAACAATCATAACTTAATTTAAAACAATAATTATGATACTATTATATAGATTTTTAGTTAGTTGTACATGCCATTTATTTTTGTTATACTCTGTACAATTTAATATAAAAATAAAAATAAAATAAAATAAAACATAGTATGTAATGGAAAGAAAAATAATTTTGATGGGTTTTTATAGGTAATTCAATAATATATTTTAGATAATATTATCACCTATGTAAAAAAAAATAATATTTTATAGGGACTCACAGGAAACCAAGGACTTCCTGGACTTCCTGGTATAAGGGGGGATTATTCGTTTAGTGGCCCGAAAGGAGAAAATGGTGCTACAGGTAAGAATAAATGTAATTTTTATAATCATACAATTGATTCTATTTGATTTGTGTATGATTTATAGGAAGAGTTGGTGATATTGGCCCTACTGGTTATCCTGGATTGGATGGCCAAAAGGGTATGCGAGGTGACAACGGAACAACAGAAATTGGATTAACCGGTGAAAAGGGTATATTTATGATAAAATTATTTTTATAACAAAATATATATTAGAAAATACTATAACAGTAATAGATTTGTTAGTATATTTATAAATGTATTGTTTATACGTATAGGTTCTAAAGGAGAACCTGGAATTGATGGCAAACCTGGACAATCAGGACGAAAGGTAATTTATCTCAAATAAAAACTGATTTAATCTCACTAAATAGTGAATTAGTGTTTCTATTCAATTTGACCAAAAATTTTAAATTCCAGTAAAATGTCACATTATATATTAACTTATTGTTTTGTAGCTTCCTTTTTTATAATTATTTCTTTTTAAATTTCTAATTTTTTGGTATAGTACCACAGATAAGCTGTTTCTCAAAAATCGTTCTGACTTAAAATATATATTTTTTCTTTTCATATTATGTAAGTTAATAAAAATATACAACATTTATGTAACTTCCATTGTACTGTACTTACAATATTAATATTAGCTAGTACTTTGTCGATAATCATTAGGTACTCATTAAAGTAACAAGTTATTTACATTTAATAAAAATATCTTAATGTTTTATAAGTACCTGATATAATAATAATTGAGTGTTGTTTTTTTAGGGTTTAATGGGAGATCTAGGTATGGTGGGAGATAAAGGTAAGATTGTTTTCAATAATACATATTGCATATCATTAAATTAATTAATATGATTTATATTTATTTTAATTAAATATAATTTAACTGTTAATAAGTAAAGTAAATTATGAATTTATTTTTTATTTTATTTAAGCTTAATAATAGCAAAGATTAAAATATGCTAAGATGTATTTAATTTATGCTATTTATGCTCAAAGTGAGTCGGATAGGCGTAAAACTTAATATTTCTTTGGTTAATGTATAGGTTAGTATATCATGTATTATGAATGTAGCCAAACTTATTATGCCCATGTATTTGATTTAATAACAAAATGATAGAAAATTTAGAGCCTAAAGATGCGTGAATGACTGAAAACTCATCAGTTTAACAAATCTCAATTACGATCATGCTCACAATTAGTCAGGGTTCTAGTTTCACTTATAAATCATGTATTCATTATTGCATCAAAAATTTGCTTGTTGCATAAAGTCCATAGTATATGATCTAAAGATTGGAGGTTAAACAAATAAATTGATATCATTTTGTTTTATAAGTGATACATAGTGTTAAAACATAGAATATAATTCTTAATATACCAACATTATTCATAGAAGAAAAATTTAAATTATTTATTAAAATGTTTAGGTATTATTGGAGATGAAGGTCCAAAAGGTTACCCAGGATTAAAAGGGCGATCCGCTATTCCAGGTAAAGTCAAATGAAATAGATACAAATAAAATGATTTAAATGCTTTTATTCAATACAGATTAATCTATTACTTGATGTTGAAAATTCTTTAAAAAAAAATTAATTTAATATACTTTTTAAATTGTTTTTATGTATTATTTTAAAACTGCATTATGATTATTAATTTTATGTGATGCACCATTATAATCTTGTGATTGAACTTGACTTTGTTTTTAATAATTTCTTTAGTAAATAAATAACATTTATATATTGTATATGAATGAAATCATTTTAAATAGTAAAAGTTAGGTAAATATTGATGGATTAAACTCTAGCATTTTTATGGAGTATTTGATACGTAATTTTTTTACCCTTGCAGTCAGATATTGCTATTTTGCTAGTTTTTAACCGTCATTTGGATAAGTGTCTTCAACAATGCTTTGATACACACACGCATATAAATTCACTATAATTAATGAATTAAGATAAAATCCATTATATTGGTCTGAATTCAATTTAGACCTGACAAAATTATGCATCAAAAACATATTATTAACACCACAATAATGTAGAAAAAGGGTGATAAACACAAATCTTTATGTTGGATAAAAATTTGATTATTTTAAGTAAGCAGTTGTAATTTTGTCAAACTTTAGTTCTAAATCTTTAAATAAATTAGGTGCTTTTTATCACCTTAAACTTAAAAACCAAACAGTAGATTTTATCTATGACTAAACATGTAAATAACATTCTATAAAATATTATTGAATTTAAGTCTTTGACATTGTAACATTATGCCTGATTTGTTAATCATATCTTTAAAATAACTTTTTGATTCTTTAATCAAACCATTATTATTATGCTATGTTTTAAATCACTTGATTAAATATTATTTATTTAATTGTTTTTATAATTATTTAGGATTAAAGGGACCTCCCGGATCACCTGGTGTACCTGGTGTACCAGGTAATAAAGGTCAACGTGGATTAGATGGCATGCCTGGTGAAATCGCAAAACCAGGTACTCAAATCTTGTAAATCATAGTGATATATAATAGAATTAAAAGATGTATTACAATAAATGGTCTATTACTGTAATAAATGTTAATAATTCTTAATTTACTAAAATTTGTTGAAATAGGATTGCCTGGAGATCCTGGATACAGAGGTCCTATTGGTTTTGAAGGTCCAAAAGGATTCAAAGGTAAGTTTTAGATTCTGAGTAAAGCGATAAATTTATTGATTTTACAATGATGTGTATTTTTTTATATAGTTATTTCATTTTTTTTGTGTGTCTGTGTCTGTGTACACAATAAATTGTTGTACTTTTTCAACCTCAGTAGCTTTTCTGGTTGGAAAGTAATTCTATTGCTGCATTGGGGAGAGTGGAGGGCCATATTTTGGAAAATATTAAAAATACCTAGAGATGTGTTTTTTTTTATAACCATTTAAAATTCAAAATTTGACAAAATTAATTGAATTGAAATTTACAAATTCATTAGTAGTTAAACATTAATAAAACGTAACTTTTATAGCTTAAGATTGAAAATTTAAAACAATATTCCATGTAAGTAGTTAATTCTGCAGCAATAAAAACTATACAAACACAGTTTTTTTAAATAGTTATTTTAAGCTCAAATTTGAATGAAATTACCCATTAAATAATCTAGAATAACAATTTTAGTTATATTGTTGTAATTTAAAAAATATTATTTGGGTAGGTATTTATAATTTCTAAAGTATACTTTATATTCTAATTTGAATAATTAATGTCGCTAATGACGTATATTAATACTTAATAATACATCGTACCTTTATACCTATTATGAAGGACTGAATGAGTCGGATACATAATGAATCTGATTTGATTAATTTGGAATTTATTTTATAGGTACCTACCAAATTTTTTTTTTAATAATAACAATATAATTAATATAGTATAATATATACTAGACTGACAAACTGTCTCCACTTAGAATCTTTTTTCCTATAAAATGGTTTTTTATTATCATTGAATTCAAATTTTAGTAATCCACTTTAAAAAAAATTAATTTGTAAAATTATTATAAATGTTTTTAAAATCTAAAAACCTAAACTTCCAACTTAATTAATTAATTTGTTTAATTATGTTAGTCATTTTGAAGTTTATAATTTAAATAAGCTATGTTTTCTATGTGACCACATCATGTATAAAATGTATATTTCTTTACCATATGAAACTTTAAATATATACTATTATAATTCTTTAAATTTTAAATTTTATAGGACCTTCTGGAGATCCAGGTTATGAAGGATTTATCATTGGAACAAAAGGAGAATCTGGAGACCGAGGTAGTATACCTGATATTAATTATCTATGAATGTTATAGAATGCATTCTATGTTAATGTATTTCTTTAGGTCATGTGCATTTAAGAGGTTCTGCAGGTCCACCTGGTTTACCAGGTTTGCAAGGAATTAAAGGAGACAAAGTATGAGTATAATAATTCATATAAGTAGTATTTATTAGCAGTATAAGGGTAGCAATTAAATATAAAAATAGGAGATAATTAATTGTCTGACTCGTAAAAAACAATTTACAGATGTATTCTTGAAATTACAATAATACAAATATGCTAATAAACTACTCAATTTTAATAAATACATGCAATGAATATAATTATTACATATTAATATTTGAATTTTAATCAAAATTGTAATAAAATTAAATAAATGTAAAAACACATACCCTTATTAAAAACCTGTATCTGAATTACATTCTTCGTTTTTTGACCAACAACGACCAACTGCATTGAACTATTTTCTATTACCAACTCATATTATTTTTTGCATATAATTTTAATAAGATACGCTTACAATGTTCAACAATTTCTATCATTGAAACATGTAGAATATGTTAATTTTTACTATAGTTAAGCAGTAAATAAATTACTGCACATAAAAATGCAATATCGATGGATTAGTTAGTCACATAACAGATGAAATGAATGAATTAGTGGATAAAGTGAATCCTAACGAGGTACCTAATGAGTATTAAATTATTATTATAGGTAACTTAAATGGCATAAAGATGAATAATTCTATTGTAATATTATTTTTTAGTTAAATAGAAGTCACAATGTTGAGTAAACATTAGCCTACTTGCATATGATCTATAATAGAAAAAAAAACTATAAAAATTTGTTTTTGTTATACATTAGTAAAAATAAATAGAATCCAAAATTAAACTTTAGAATATTAGATTACTCTTATTTATTCACACACTTATAGTTACACAATATTTATGTGTAACTATATCACCAATATCAATCCATTACTTATTATTTTGGTTTCAAGATAGTCATAAGTATTGTTTTGTTATTTTCGGTTACTTACATTTTACATTCAATCATGCAAATATATTATACATATTAATAACCTAGTAGGTAGGTATTTAGTTATATTACAGTTATTCTCGTAATAACTTTTATAATATTGTAAACTTATAATTAATATAGTAGATATAGTAATTTATTGTTTTATTTCTAACCTTTTAAGTATCACCTAATGTACCTACTTGTTTAGGGTGTAAGGGGTGATGACGGAGCAATTGGACTTGTCGGATTTACAGGAATATATGGAATTAAAGGAGAACAAGGTGACATTGGTCCTGAAGGTTTACCAGGTATGCAATGTACAAAATATTATAAAATAATTTAAAAAAATATATAATGAATAATAAAAAATATAAGTAAACTGTAAATATCCCTGCTGTATAACTGAAATAACCATAAAAATAATATAATCGTTATGACAATTACAAAAATCACCAAGTAAGTATTAGTTTAATATTTTATTTTCACATAGGTATCCCTGGCTCTAACCCAGAACATGGTGAAAAAGGAAGAAGTGGTATAGACGGCGTTCCTGGAAGGCAAGTTACATGAATTATAATATAATTGACATTATTGTGAAATTAAGTATAATATATAATTTATTTTAGCCCTGGAATTGATGGACAAAAAGGAGCACCTGGGGAGTATGGAAATGATGGGGTATGTTTTGATGTTTATAATAAGAAAAAGTATTCCAATTATGAATATCTATCTAAAAACTAAAAATATTATTAGTTATAATTATAAAATATTAAGAAACTGAACTAAATTGAACTAACTTGGAAATTTAATTAGATATAAGTTCAATTTTATCTGAAAATTGTTAGTTATTTTTATTTTTCAGGATATTATATTTATTTAAGATTAATTTTTTAATTACTCTACTAATAATTGTTTGTGCTTTTGCATTGATTTTTTTTTAAATCAGATCCCAGGATACCCTGGACCACGTGGAATAAGTCCAAAAGGAGAAAAGGGAAAATCTGGTCCAAGAGGTTTGAATAATTTTTTAAATAATATAATACTATGTACAACAACATATATATATATATATATATAATATATGTTCATATTTTTTCATTGTATGTTTGTTTTGGCTAAATATTATTGTATGAGACAAATTTACAATAATTTTGTTTAATTGCCATTCACATCTATGAATGGTGTACCTTATCAACATGAATACAAATTGTATTTCTCGTACACAGGTGTATCTGTCCAAGGTGAACCTGGAGCTGAAGGTGTTCCAGGAAAGAATGGAGAACCTGGAAGGCAGGGATTAAAGGGTGTAAAGGGTGAACCTGGTATTGCAATACTTAGGTAGGTACCTAAAATTAATAATGCTGACTTATTTTGAGTGAATATAATATTTTATCTCTCAATACAGCCAAAAGGGAGAACAGGGCAAGGTTGGTCCACCTGGATTATTTGGATTACTAGGGGAGAAAGGTGAAATTGGAGACACTGGGTTTGAAGGGATGCCAGGTATTTATTTTTAATATTTTATTAGTTATATAAGTTGATTTATAGCTTATAATTTAAAATTTATGAGATATATTAATGATTAATAACTTTTTATCCTACCATACACATTATTTTTACATAAACCAAAATTACTTAAATTGAAATGTTTATCCTAAAGGCGATGAATGGTTTAGTGCATAACTAAAGCAGAATAACGGATATTGTGTTCAATAGGTATTGTGATTTCGTAAAATATATTGCTAACGACTAAAAATAATGACCTCTAATTAGATATAGCTATTCGGCAGCTTGGTCAAAAATGCTTTTTAAATTTAAAACAAAAAAATAATGAAATAATCTTTTAATTAATTTTTCTAAGTTCTTAACTTGTACAAAATATAGGTACTCTGGATTGTGATAATTCAAATTATTAATAATCAAGTCATTAATATTCTTTAATCTTAAAAGTATAATTGTTGATWAATGAATAATGAAAAATTGTTAAATAAATATTATAGTATGCCAAAAAACAATCAAACTATAGAAAATATTGCAAACATTTTAAAATTAAAATGCGTTATATGTACTATGTAAATATTTTAGGTGTACCCGGTTTAAAAGGATTACAAGGTTTACCAGGACAACCTGGAAATTCAGGATTTATGGGAATTCCTGGTTTTAAAGTAAGTGTGTTTGTATAAGAATAAGTAAATACTTAAGATTTATATGTTCATTTTCAATATCATTTTAACTAAATAGATAATACATCTATTTTAAAATACAAAATATCTACACACTACATATGTGATATTTATCTACATATAATATCTTGTTTGTTTCACCTAATCCATAGGGAAAAAAAGGAGATATCGGAGAATCGCTGTTTTATAATGAGACTCAGCTCAGAGGAATGCCTGGTGATGATGGATATCCAGGATTGACAGGCAATTTAAAATTAATGATATCACTAATCTTAGATGTTTTCAAACCTAACTTTAAATAATTTATAAATTTATATTTTTTAAGTTGTATATTATAATATACCTACTTAAGCTTTCAAATAAAATATTTGTGAAATAGGCCTGCGTGGACAACCTGGCGATCCCGGATACGATGGACGAAATGGCTTGCAAGGAGAAAATGGTGATGATGGTTTCCCTGGCTTACCTGGAAAAAAAGGTATAGTATTTTTAACTAAATAGTATTAAAATCTACATATACCTTTTATAAAATTATGAATCTAATATTTGAATGTCAATATATCTATTATAACTGTTATAGATAATTATAATTTCATATGAATTGGTTATTGCAGGTCTAAAAGGTTTCAAAGGACAAATGGGAAGACAAGGAAACCAGGGAAAATATGGTCCAAGAGGATATCCTGGTAAATCATCCCATCAATTAATAATATTTTACTATAAGTTATTATTCTTAGAACAAAACAACATTATATCTTATACCTATATTTATACATAAATTAGTTATACATGTTTTATAATTTTATTTAGTTTATCACTTATTGCTAATATATTAGTTATGGTTTTTGTGACATTTAGGTCGACCTGGATTGCCTGGTAGTGATGCTCTGCCAACAAAACCACCGCCACACCAAGGTAATTTCTTCACATATCATTCTCAAACGGATATTATTCCAGCTTGTCCAAAGAACACTGTTCAACTCTGGTCTGGTTATTCGCTCTTACATTTCATGGGCAATGCTAAAGCACATGGACAAGATTTAGGTAAACAAAAAGTGTTAAGTTTTAAATGATTTTATTTAATTTGATTTTATGCATATAATTGTTTTATTTACTTATATTGCTATCTTAGGTGCACCTGGTAGTTGTTTGAGAAAATTCAATACTATGCCATTCTTATTCTGTGACGTAAATGAAGTATGTAATTATGGGAGTAGAAACGATTACAGTTATTGGCTAAGTACACCAGAGCCAATGCCTTTAATGATGACACCAATTCTAGGTTTAGATATTTCAAAATTCATATCAAGGTTGGTGTAGAGCAGTTTAATTTTTTTATTTTTTCCGCGTATTATTTAATAGTAAGTTTTGAGAATAACATTTTTAAATTTTATTGTTAAAGATGTTCTGTGTGTGAAGCTCCAACAAAAGTAATTGCAGTACACAGTCAATCAATGGCTATACCCGATTGTCCAAATGGTTGGAGTGAGTTGTGGATTGGATACAGTTTTATCATGGTTAGTAGCACAAAAAATACATTTATTTTTCATTAATAAATTATTTAATTAAATTAATATTGAAACTGGTAGGTACCTATTGAGGTTTTTCTATTGACAGTATTCAATAATGTATGAATGTACATAACTCTAATTATAACCATCATGATCATAAATGATGGATGAAAATTTAATTTTCAATCATAATACAAATAATATCTATGTTTTATTAATAATAAACTTTTTTAATATAAAAAATGTTAAGAAAAAAGTTTAAGTTAAATTATGTTAAGAATGTTTTAAGATATACAAACAATTTACAATTTTAAAATACTCATAACTTGCTTTAAAATTAAAATATAATAAAAAATTTATGAGAATCTATCGATAATAATGTCACCTACTCTTAATTTTGACGAGAGGTCAATTCCCCTTAATGTTAAACTCGCAGAGCTAAACGTCGTCTGCTGAGCATAAAATTTGTTATGTTACGCGCTTAAAAGACGGAGATGACACATGCGGGTTTAACGTCCTCTTAAAAGCATATTATTATAGAAGATTAAAAATAAACTGGTAATATCACTTTAAAAAAAATATTGAAATAGTCATAGGCGCAATTTGAGGGGCTTGGAGAGGCTTAGCCCCTCCAATATTAAAATTAGTCTCTCCAAAAATTTGTATTTTAATTCAAGTATTAAATATTAATCAATTAATTATCTAATCTACATTAACATAACAGTATACTGTTTATACGATTTTAATCGTTGTTTGCAGAAATGATCATCTTAAGTTTAAACAATGATTCATTTTTCATACGTTATATATTCTTATCTATATTGGTTCACCCGCAGCTAGAATATTATTTAAGTTTAATAATAGTTTTACAAATTATTATATTGAACGGAATAGTCGAATGAATTCTCCAACAAACAAATTTTGAATAAATTTGCAATGTCGAACCGACGTTAACAATTACAACATAATATATTACATTAAAATACCTAAATGTTGTTATTTGTTCTGGTGAAAATATTTTTCTCTTTAATAATAGATGTACCTATTCTAGTAAAATATGATATTTGTATTTAAAATGGTATATGGTATATAAACTGGTGGTGTGGGGACAGGGGCTCTGCCACGGGTCTGTTTCATTGAAATATGTAGCTAAAGCCCATCCAAGATAAAAAATGATATTGCGCCTATGGAAATAGTTATTATTATTACATATTATTATTTGAATGTGCTAATGTTTGAGTGTGCTAATAATTCTCTAAAAAGAGCTTTTATCGTAGAAAAATTTAAATGTATAAGAATATTAATATATTATGGTTATATCATCTAGATGGTCCTTCTAGATGTAATTTATGTACGAGTAATATAATAAATAATATGTTCCATAATCTTAAAGTGGTCGAATAGGACATAAAAAAAAAAAACAATGGTTCTAGTCAATATAACCATTGTTTTTTTTTTTTATGTCCTATTCGACCACTTTAAAATTACATGCGTACAATATAGCAACATGGAATTATTTTATATGCAAAACAAATTTAAAAATAGAATAAAGTAACTGTTGGTTTTCGATTTTTAGCATACCGATTCCGGTGCTGATGGTGGTGGTCAGTCATTGGTCAGCCCAGGTTCGTGCTTGGAAGAGTTTAGACCAAGACCATTTATTGAATGCCACGGAATAGGACGCTGTAACTTCTACACCACTGCTTATTCGTACTGGTTGTCTACAATAGAAGATCGAGATATGTTCAGGAAGCCTCGGCCCCAAACACTCAAACAAAACACATTGCAAACACGTATCAGCAGATGCTCAGTGTGTTTGAAAAATCGATATTAAGCTATAAATTAATTTTTACAAAGCTATCTTTTTTCATTATTAATATTTCTTTTATAAATATTCAAATATCTATATTATATTATTCATAAAATTGATGTGTTCTGTTAGGCGAAAAGTCATTAATATTTTTATTTATTTAAGTATACCTATAATATAACATTATTTTTATTAATTATACCAATGTGATTTACAAAATTTATTTTCGGAACAAGTTAAGTTATTTAAAAGATTATTGTTAATAATACATATATATATATATAATAATTATATTGATGCTATTAATTGTAGGAAAGAATCGTTTATGGCAAATTACTGCGATACCAATAAATTATTATTAGGTAATTTTTTATTGTATTTATTATTTTAACCAGTAAAATATAGTTACAATAAAGTAAAACCACATTTATTTATTTTAATTTACAAAATTATTTTTATGCAATTATTTTCAGGTTTAGAAATGTAATAAGATTTATTATAGAGATATCTTTAAACAAAAATATTAAAACACTATGATATGCATGATATGCAATGGTTTAATTTTCATCATCTACATAATTTCATTGGTTTATATTTTTTTTTTTTGAAAAATATTATTCTCATCTCCAACTATTTAAAAGTTTGCTTCAAATGGTTGGTATGGAATTTAAATAACGTAAGTTAGAATCTAGTATCTAAATGACTGATTTACATTTTGAGACCATTTATCTATTTTAAGCAAACATTGAAAAACAATATAGGAACTGAATGGTTAGTACTAAAAAATTTAAGTTAGTAATTTTTAATTAATCATACCCAATAATTTTGGTGTTATGCAATGTATTTCTTTAGATAATAAAAACACATTTTGGATAATATTGCCTATATTAAACCACATTGCTTCTCCTGCAGCATTTCCGTGAAATCAAAAACACTGTTTTGAAACCATTTGAAAATTCAAGGGAGTAATACCAGGAAGCGATATTTTTATATTTTATACGGAAAGAAAATCCTGTAGTTGTCCTATGGATGTAGACATATTATTAGTTGGAGTAGATAACTCAAATGTTAAAAACTTGTAGAATTTATGTTTTGCAATATGGTGCAATATCCTTGTCCACACCACCTATCAAAACCATTTCAAATTGATCCATAATCATTAATCGCCACATCAACGTTATATTAAAATAAACATCAATTTTTTTTTTATTATTACCTTTTTCTTATGTTATACTGTTTATTTTAATTATCTAAGTAAACACAAATTAGTGATTAGGTTATTCGGTATTTACTAGTTTAAGTTATGTTAGTTTAATGTTATGAAATATATTTCAGATTTTCATATTATAATAGGTAAGTAAAATTACATAATTAGATGATTCGTTTATAATCATTAGAATCGGTCAACTTAATATAATATATTAGTCATTCAATTATTTTAATATAACAAATAATATAGGTATAACACTTACACTAATAAGAATATAAATAGGTATAATAATTTTTTTATGGTGATTGTAGTGTGGGCGTGTAAGACATGCTGTTGAAAGAATTTTACTAATTGGTTCTGGAATTTAAACCTCACTGTTACTCTTATATAAAAATGTTGGAAACTAGAATTTTTATTATTAGGTAAAATGTTTTTCTCCAAATATGTTAATATTTTGATAATTTATCAATTTGTAATGAAATAATGAATTATATGTAGACTTATATGATAGTTTTGATAATTTATAAATCCATTTTACCAGTTTCGTATAAATGGATGATTGCAAATTCTATCCGAAATGAGCTGGTGTGAAAAGGTCGATATTACTGATCATAATATTCAATGTATAAATATTATTTTAATTATAAATAACAATTATTCTCCAATAAAACACTAAAATATTGTTTCAAACTAAATATAATTTAATCAATAATAGTATAATATATAATTCAGTAAATAAGATAGGTATTGGTGTGCTTCGATATCCTCGACGCATTAGACAAGCAGATAATCAGAACATATAAATATAGGACAGGTAGAAACCTAATATAATAAACTAAAATTATCAATAACCTTTGGTGTGTGGATATCTTTAGTGGATACGAATTTGTGCTTTAAGTGTCAGCTTCATAATATTGTTTTGTATGATTTTAATTTTAAGAAATTCAATTTATTGTTTGTGTGGAATAATTTATKGTTGATTCACCCGATTCTGACGGTAAGACTACTTCGCTAAATAATTGGTACATCGCACCTACCTATATGTTATATAAGTATACTTATAATAAGTAATAATAATAACTAATAATTATATTTTCATTCACACGTGAGCTGAATAATTGGTTTTCGCTGGGTTTTATGCGTAGTATAAAAGTATAGTTATTATAATTAAGTTATTATAATCATTTATTTATTTTAATTGTATTTACAGTGACGTAGCCAAAAGACAGAAAATGTGTTTTGGTTGTTGAAACACTTTCCATTGGCCATATTTATGCAAAAAACATATGTATCATATTACTATGAAAGTATGTCATAATATGATTATGATTTCAACAAAATATGTTATTGTATGTGGTTATTGATTCTATTTAATATTTTTTATTATTAATATGGAGATCTATGGCTTCGATGAAGAGTAAGTAAGCTGCTTTACACACTCTCCTCCACAGCCGATTTGCTATATTTAAATGTAAATTAAAACACTTTAAACCTTCCATAAAAAAATCTTGTTTCCCCGTGTACCTATATTCTATATTATAATCACTAATAATTTATACTTTTTTACATTTAAAAAATATCCAAAACAATTCTACCAATTTTTTGATCAAGACAAGAAATTTGTACCTATATGTTTCTTTTTGTTGTCTTTATAGCCTATTCTAAAACAAAACATTACCTACTATACTGACAGTTACGCTATCTTTTTAATAAGTCACTATATATGTTGACACCCTGTTGACTTTGTTTATGGTCATAGCAATACAGCAAATAATTGTTGGACTAGAGATTATAGTTGATCTCATTTATATCAGTAATGGTATCAGATTGGTGTTCTTGTGAAAGAAAACGATTCAGATAATATCGGACCATTTTCAATACTATTTTTTAGAAAGCAACTTATTTAGGTATATATCTTAAATTCGAACGGGAACCAGCTTAGCTTACCAATATTAGCCAAATTTTGAATTGACATTATACTTAAATTGTATCTACAAAAATGTTGAGCTATAATTTACTGTTTACTCATAGAATTTACACGCATCCTTGAATATCTATATTATAGCGAAACTGGTAAATACTTTACAATGGTATTCGACATTTTGATGAACTGGGAAATCGGGCCGAGTACGAAACCAACTCAGTCCCCGAAACCAGCCCACCAAATGTGTAATAGTAATAATATTATAGCTTAATATATTATTATTTATCAAATGGTGTTGTGGCACGGTGGTGGAGGACACGGAGCAGACCATCACACGCCGCATTTACATGTACGACGGTTTGATCTTGTACGACCGTTTCCAGATCTCACACAGACATACRGTAGAATGGAACCTGTAGAATATGGCCAGTGGCATGGACACGTGCGTGATTATGGTCCACGCCCACAGGCCATAGAAATGGAGCTGTATCGGATGTGAGTCAGCCCGGGACTTCTCCAGCGTGTTGATGGCCCACATGGCCAGGTTGCTGACCAACAGGAACGTGACGATCTCTCGACCGGGCTTCTTACGTATCTGGTCGGGTGTTACGCACGATCGCCGAGATGCGTCCAGTATGAACACCGTCTGACAGAACGTCTGCACCAGCGACGCGGATGCGGTGATCAGCACCAAAATCGTGTTGTTTTCCTCAGTGAAGTGACCGCTGATTATTGTGAACGTGCTATATATGAACGTACCCGTCTGTGCGCCAACTAGCAGTATGTTGTCCAGCTCAAGATTCCGCAGTCCGTCGAACTTCAGCTGCCTGACCTACGGTGGTGTAAGGTAAATTCGTGTAAAAAAACGATAGGAACACGATTATTATTATTAGTACAATCATCATAATCAAAATCACAGGGCTGGATGTAGTCCTGCCGGAAATTCTTCATTCTATAGAATTCTGAAGTTGAATGATTAAAAATAATGATCGACCAGCAAGTCAAATTAAAGTGAATATAAATGGAAATCATGAAAAAAAAAAAAATGTTTTATCATAAAAGTTTGAAATCAAATAATATGTTAGGACGAGATTAAATATTGTTTATAAATTATAAAAAAAGTTAACATATTTTTTTGTGTTAATGAGTTGTTTTTTAATGCATAGTTAAAGGGTTTTCACTGCATATTTTAGTATTCTTTTTTTTTTTAATATCTTGACATAATTCATATTCGAATCAAATGTTTTTTTTTTTAGTGAATGAACTATACGAGCCCTGTGCGCATTAACAACAAGTTATGAAAACCTGGCACAACATTGTCATCATTGGTGGATTAAACCTAACATGGAAACATAATAATATTGTCATACAGACCTGCACCATACCGACAATGGTAGCCAGCGTGGTCATACCATACAGCGACAACTCGCAGACATTCACCTCCATAACGGCAAACGTGATGAGCTCTGGCCGGGAAATGAGCACGAAGAACAGTATCAGCGAGATGATGGTTAGTACCAAGAACAGTATGCCGACGAAAAGGCCTTTGTGCGCCTGCGCGCAATCCACCGAGTAATAGTGCGGTGACTTCCGGTAGTGCGTGATCTGCGCAAGGTTTTCACACCGTTCCGCCTTCCGTTGCCGGTACACATCCGCATACACCCGGCTGATGTTCTTCCACATCACGTACAGTATAGCCGCGCATATCAGGCTGTACTCGATCGTGCACGGGAACAGGAATGGGCTGGCATTCTGCACCAGCGACCCAATTATGTTCGTCCGGCGGCACTCGTAGATGTGATGCGGTCCCGTGTTGATGCTGCGCCGCAGCCGGTCGGCCACCGATGACATGGCCGACGCCGGTGACTGCGTCGTGGTGGTCGTCCACTTTTTGAACACTGTACACAGTACACACAACACAAAGTCAGGTCTAAGGGTGATTTATAAATTATGAACGTAAAAGAAATAGTATAAGTCCCCCGTCCTATCTGCGCCAATATAGTCTGACGATAATACAAGTTAATTAATAACATAGGTATTTATAAACGCGAATCGGGAATAAAATAAATGACAGTTTGATTATTTTCTAATCTATAACTTAAAAGAATATTTACGAAGGGTGACTTTCCACTTTACATCTTCCATGGTATTTATTTAATCCAAAATACTGAGGGACACTGACTGCTCATTAAGGCGTTTTGTATAGGCAATTTTAATACATTTTATAATTTAAATACATCTAATCATATAATTATACTTAAATATTAATTCAGTGTAAGGATCGCAATAGGCAAGAAACCCGTACTAAAATGTATCAGACTAATCGGTATATCATTTGTATAGACTTACCTAAAAAATGATTTGGTAGTTTATCGACACCGATAGAATTGTCAGCTGGATTATAAAAAGTTAGTATTTCGTGTTTGGTTTCCTGTACAAGTACATTAAGCCATACTGACAGATTAGTGCCGATCATGTGCATGAGTCCAAACTTTGCCAAAACCCGGTGACGGGTCACTCTCATCTGTTGCTGCAATGAGGAAAAAACGAAAAGGTTGAATACATACCTAATACCAAAGAATAATTTGTAATTATTTTGTATTTATTATTATTGTAATAATTTTTTTATTTTCTTAACAACAATTATATAATAAGTATAATTTAAGTCATAAATCTGAGTCCCATATTTATTTATAAATTGTTTAAGTAGRATCAAAATAATTTTTTTCTTTGAAATAAATATGYTGTATATGTGTAAGTGGGTATGTAAGGAAGTATATATATGTATRTATGTACGTATAGTATGTACGGGAGGCTTGTATATTAACGCTCAAAAGTGTTGACTMAGGGTAAAACGAGTGTGTGACCATTTCGGTTCTTACAATGGCCTACGTGACCGAAATAGCTGGGTCAGCACATACCGAAGGCCCCGGACAGACCGTTGTGTAATGATATACATATTATGTATTGATCATCATAATTTATTAGATTATATTTAGACTATATTTTAGATTTAAGATACTAAATTAAATAATATATTATAGTACACTAACAATCAGTTTYATTCATAAAAATTATCAACATGTTAATAATATGTGATTCTTTCACTAGTTATCCTTATCATATTATAATAATAATTTTCCACACACATGAAATAGTAATGCCACAATCTATGGTTCAATTGGATCGAAGGCGGCATCTCTTACCATACTCTATACATATAGGTAAGTCCACACGACACCCAAAACGGGGCTCGGTCGCTCACTCAATTTTATCTGCTCATTGTATATTTCTTTCATAATTAATTTATGTCACTTTAAAATTAAAATGAATCAGTTGCAATATATTTCTCTGAACGTTATAAAATGTATTTTAATATATTTTTCCTGGTCAATATCCGATATAATATGTACATTAAGGAAGGTCGTACAAACTAGCTCTGCTTCACAATTTCTACAAAAGGTAAGTGACAAATTTATTCGACACTCCTTATGCATTTCCTTTTTATTTGAATTTAAACTAAAGGAAAACTCTCCTACTAACCCCTCTCCATTAAATATCGTATTAAATTATAATATTAAAGTAATGAGTTAAAGATAAATCATAATATAAAAAAAAACAACATTTAACTGTTCTCTGATAAAGATACATTCATAATTTAAAATATAATTGCATCGCCATACATTGTTTGATTAAATTTATCTCAGATCCACGTTGAATCTTATTTTTATCTCATTACAGTTGTGGCGGGCCCGGTCGGTGGTCGTCAGTCAACTCAAGTCTGGTGGAAAGAGTGAACGACACGAGCGTTACTCCGCTGCAGARCATCCTTTAAGAGGACGTGATACCCGCATGTGTTGTCTCTGTCTTACAAGTGCATTATATAGTAAATTTTACGTTCAGCAGAACACGTAGTGTAGCTCCGTTTGCTTAAAAATTAGAGTGAATTGACCTCTTATAAAATTTAAAGGTATGATTGTTATCTAGTCAACCTCATATGCTTTTTAATATATTTAAATTTTAAAGGAAGTTATGAGTATTTTAAGATGCACAAAAAATTCACAATTTTAAAATACTCATAACTCGCTTTAAATTTGATATAAAATAAAAAGCATATGAGGTTGTCTAGATAATAAYCTTACCTTTAAATTTTATAAGAGGTCAGTTCACTCTAATTTTTAAGTTAACGGAGCTACACGTGTTCTGCTGARCGAAAAATGTACCATGTTACRCATTTGTAAGACGGAGACAACACATGCGKGTATCACGTCCTCTTAAGTGTTAAACAGAGCGTCATATAGTTTTAATCATATCCTCTCATAATAATATAATATTATAGTATCAGTGTTCATATAGTCTTCTATACAGTGTTTAATTTAATAAATCAGTAATTGCATAAATCTACTTGATCCTCGTGTTACTTCTTTTGATACCAATACCTAAGATTTGAACGTCATACGACGGTGGACTACACTTCAACTAGGTATATAATTAGTTTTTTATCTTATAATTTTTGMACATTTTGTGTTGGTAGGTATTCGCTAAATATTTTTGAATGTCTTTCACGCGTTTTAAATAATATTTGTGCGTATTTTTGTTGRTAATATTTTAGCTTACACTTAAACTTTTTTTAACCTAAAAATCTTGACCTTAGTCAAAAATAATTATGTACAATTTCAATTTGAAATCAAAATTAGTAAATTCTTTAATGTCYTAATGAAGAACTATTGAAATATCTGCAAATTAAAAAAATAGTGCTATGTWGTAGGAATTTTGTTTGRTGTATAATAATAATTATTCCAATCATAGTAAGTTATCAACAATTTTAAATTATTAAATATTTGTCAATTATTCCCATTTTTCAAAATGATATTATAACAGAACTATTTTTATGTCTGTTTTAAGACATTGCCTTATAGTTTATATGCTTATYTATGCAATTCAACCCGTCCATTACAATTAATTGTAATTATTAATAAATTAACTCAACTCACATAACTCTATAATAAAATAAGTACACTTGCACCAGTCGCATACATAACTTTAATTTTGTTATAAATATGTAGCATGATTTTTTTTAGATGAAGTACGGATTTTAATGCATTAAACTAATGCTCTATTTATGTTTTACAAAAATGAACCTTACCTCGTCATTCAAAAATATAAAGTACATCTGTATAAATATGAATGCCATTCTAGTTGCCGGAGTAAGCACCAGAAGCACGTTGTGGCATTTTGTTGCTGGTTCAAGTTCGAAGTACTGACCGAATTCAAGTCCAGAATAAATCATACTACCTATGCCAAAAGCTGGAAACAAAAAAATCTAAATATTTTATTTAACTCATATTATTATTATTATGCATAATATACCCAGGATTTTTAGCAAGATATCTTTGYCACACATGTACAAACACGTGCTACAACCTAACAACTTAAAAATATATGAACAAAAATAACCCCTACCGTACCACTCTACACCCAATATCCTATGTTTCCCATGGATTCCCCAATAAAAAAAAAATTATATTATATTTTAATAATATGTTCAACCAACCCACAGCGCCCATTCTCAGATAGAAACTCCCGTAATGCTGGAAAGTAGAAGGCAACACAAGGTGAGACGATTGTCTCCGGGTTCTCGGGTTGTATGACGTCCAATAATCCATTTCAACTCCACCGGTGTTTGTGAAGTCGTCGTTGTCTTCGTAATATTCCGAGTCACCTTCGCTGTTCTCTGAACCATCTCCGGATAATGAATCACTAACCGAATTATCTGTATAGACATGACCGTGTGTCAAAATAACAGTAAATGAATCAACTAATTAAAATGATGATATACACCGAAACCCCTCCTAATGAAAATGTTCAAATAACGGACRTTTTCTTGAAAATCAACTACGATCTTTGTACAATTTAAACCTTCTAAATACTGGACACCTCCGAATAGTAAGCAAAATTTCAGCGACCAGAAGTGTCCAGTATTTAGAGGTTGCACWTTATACATTTTAACAGGAAAAACAACACCTAAAATATCATATTTGGCCATATTTTATTTTATCAAGGAACGTACACGATATACTTACCGAAATTATTGTTGACGGGTGTCATCGTGGGCTTTCCCTTGAGCAGCATTGCGTACATGTAAAAAAGAAACGCCATACTTCCAAAATAAAGGTACAAATAATAACCCTTAAAACCAAAAATAAAATAATAAAAATATRAATGTAAAAAAAATGATGRTGAAAGATAAGCTAATCGTAAACGTCACCTCGTAAAACGAATGAGGGATGTGTGTAGATATCACTTCAGACATCGGAAAAGCTATGCCCATGACGACCAACAGTTTGCCGTATAGAGCAGACAAAGTCGTAGCAAGAGCTTGTCTATACGATTGAATAAAAAATATGTTACTCAAWATACATTGGAACTATAAAAATTKACTAAATTCCCTTTGTAATCAATTCCAAATTGTGGTTAAATTCTAGTAGGATAATTCATTTCCATATGAAGTTTACAGCTTAGTAATATTTTTACAAAGTGGGTAATTCCCTATAATTCTACAAGTTCTACTGAACATATCAATTAATTTAATTTAATTTCGATCTTCTGTTTTTAACAAATAAAAATGTAAATACCATTCWGCTGTACAGTAGGTTACAAGTGATGGCGGGCCACTGTAACGGATGGTGTAAATTTGAATTCAATGATAATTTAGTATCATTATATATATATGAAAAACGATTCTGAGCGGAGACRGTTTGTTGGCTTAAGATATTCAATAGTATATCATTGTATTYGAAAAAGGATTCTGAGCAGAGGCTTATCAGTTAGCCTATATTACAAATTAAAATGATATTTTTAAATTACAGCAARATAACTAAAGATTTTTTTTCATTTAAATATCTAATTTAGTCCGAATTTGAATTTAAAATGGTAATAAAAAATAACTGTGTGTATATATATTTTTAGTTACAATATGAGTTATTTATTAGGAACCTTGTTTCACATTTTCAATCCTTAGCTAGGAAAACCGAAAATTATAAATTTTTAACTACTAACAAAATAAGAWGAATATTTTATAGATTTTGACGGATTTCATCAAATTTTAAACTTTAAATGCTTATAAAAAAAAATATGATTATATCTTTAATATTATTTAATTTTTATTATAACAACTTACGAGGAACCTTTTAATACATTTTCAAGCTTTTTGACACAACGAAAAAAAAATTTCTATATAAAAAAAACTAAGCGAAATTATTAAATGACTATAAACAATTCAAAACGCGTCAAAGTATTTTGAAAATTTAATCATGTATAGAACATGATAAAATGAAAATTTGATGAAAATTTCAAATATCTACAGTTATTTATTTTTGAAAAGCAACATACTAAGAAAATCGTTAATTCGTTAATTTACAGTAAAAATTCCAATCTCTAAAAAAATTATTTATCTTTCCGGTACGAAAACTTTTATTTAGTTACTAAAGATGTTGAAAAAAATGTATAAGGAATCTCACATTAAATTTAAAATCTCAAATAAAAATAGATAAAACTGGCTGTGAATTTTTAACTCAAACATAAACAAAAATGTTTGTGATTTTGACGAATTTTCGTCAAGTTCAAACAACAGACGCTCATGAAAAATTATCATGGATTTACGCTCAACCTTTAATTTTCATTTACAACAATTAATAAGGAATTCTGTATTAAATTTTCAATTATTTTGACCAAGTGAATAGTTGCTTATCAGCAATATTTTTTTTTTTAAATTGATAAAAATCGAAGTTTACCTAAAAGCTCAAAAACAGTCAAAACATTTTTAAAATTTAATAATGCATAATATAGTGTCATATGTAAAAAAACTTAAGCTAACTCCTAATTTTAAAATAACAAAAATGTTGTAGGTGAGAATTAAGCATGAATATAGTGTACTATAACACTCTACTTCAATTAAAATAAGTTTCTAAAGCAATATAAACAATCAATATAATTTTATAATCATATCATTGCAAATAAAATTTTCAAATTCGTTTTGTGTAAAATCATGTTTTTTGTGTTATGTCGTTGTTGTAGCAAACAAGCGATATAAATATTAATAATGAACGTCCGGTAAAAACTAAGTACCTATCATTAGTTATAGTTACATCAAAAAAACTTAATCRATTTCGTTAATAACTGCAGACTTTCCCTAAAAATTGCTGTTTTTTTATTATTTTTGTTTTTCACAACACTTTTAAAAACTCTTAGTTCCATATTCCATTTTGACCTATTTAAAGTGACAAATATACGTATCATGTATACTAACACAGCACACACAAACTGATGTAAATAATCAATGCATTACTTGGTCCACTCAGAATTCAAAACGATTTCGACGTGAAAGATATAATTAAATATAGGTATATACAGATGGGTCTCGGTAACTCAAATATGAAGAAGGTCACAWAAAAATTCTACTCATGAATTTTTCAAGTTAMAACATACTTACATTCCTCAAACACAACTTAAAAATGAACTATACTTACGCTCCCATTTTTCTCCAGGTATTATGTAGCTCTTCAATTGTCGATTCCCTTTTCATTTGRTGAGGTAATTTCTTTACGGAAGTGCTCGGTGTTGAAAAATGCTTTACTGTTGGCATCCTAATCAAAATACAACAATGAGTTAATAATTGTTCTATTGAAGGGCTATTGTATACTAGCTAGTAACTAGCTTTATTAAAGTTTGCAGRATCAAAATGAATGAACCATATTGTATAACCAAATTAAAAATATATATATCTAATTAATTAAAATATTGCGCATAAGAAGAGTGGAAAATAAACTTTACATTTTATAGAGCTTAACAATTGCTACGTTTAAATGGAAATTCGTGCATTTCTATAAWTATATAATGTAATAATTGTGTGTATTATGAACGTATGATGATATGTATGACCCGTTCATTAACGAGTGTCAATAAATTCAACTTTACCTATGTAATTTAATTTTAATTAAAGTTATAAATGTTAAGTTAAATTTATTGTCTCTCACTAGAACAGATCATTATAGGTATGTAATTTATTGTAAAATAAATCGTCGTTATAATATCATAATATAATAATCTAAATATGTAGTTACAAAGCTATGGGCACTCGACTTTAATACATACCTACATGAGTACTTAATACTTGGGGACAAATAAAAATGGCTAAATAACATAGTATATTAAATGTGCGAATAACAAAACAATGTTAACTTTATTACACAACATACTTTTATGTTTGATTTTGCATGCAAATTATGTTATTGCTAAAATTGTGTATTTTCTAAATCAAGTCAGAATACAAAGAGATTTTTATTACATTTCACAATCGTCATAATACCATAAATCAATAATTTTGCACGAAAAACTGGGTTGACAAAAATTGATTAAATGACGATGGATTGACTTTTTTCAGAGCTATAAATACGATAAATTTTACATATTTTCTATGTGAAAAATTTGTAAATTATAGATTTAATATTTGGTGATTGGTTGACCGGAACTCGATAGTTAAACCATAATATTATCATGATATTATAATACTTACTCGAATAGTACAGAATTTGGCCTTGGTAAAATGTCATCCTTGTTTGGTGTGAATTCATTTGGGGGAGTAGAACTGGTGACCTTTGCACTGATTAATGAAGGAAAAATGTCTATACCATTAGGTTTATTAGACCCTTCGCTGGTCCAACTGTCCATCAATGCATACAACAAATTATTGATAATATTACAAATTTATAATGKTAAATTATTTCAATCTCCGTACTTAATTGAAACTTTATAAGTTGTTCACGACTAGTTGTTTATAAATTGCACAGTTACTGTATATTCACTATATGTCTATTTATTTTTAAGTGGTTATGTAGTATATTATGTTTTTATCTTATTACTTTAATACCAATTAACACTACAACGAATTTCACTGAGTGTATGACTTTTTCTGTTTTCTCGATAACTTTATTATCCAAATATATTTATAAAGTGACTGATATTTGTTCCATTTAAAATATAACTAGTGGCTACCTATGCTGTTTTCATAAGATTTATTCTGTTATAAATTGTGTGTCTAATAAACAACAAAAAGATACCATAAATTAATAAAAAACAATACGCGGTTTTTTGGAAAATGGCTATTACAAAACTAATTTTATTCTTGAAATAATTTGTCAAAAATTATAATTCAATAAAGTCTATAATATTGATAGTTTTTATTTGGCTATCTGTTAAGTACAAAGCTAAACAGTAAGCTTAATAATTGATAACATTATTAGTAGTTAATAATAAAATTAAAATATTGAGTGAAGCGACTTATCGATGGCGGTAGTTTGTCGTGAAATATTAGCAGCTCAGTCACTCAGGAATCACAAATTAATATTTTTTGGGTCCCAATTTACAAATTCCAAAAGTTTCGTTGGGYCAACCAAAAATAAAAATGAAAACGAATGGATACATCATTTAGTCATTTAATTTACCATAATTAAATTAATTWAAGTCTTATCTGTGGACCAGATAAACTTCGTCYATGGAATGCTGACTTATCTCTGTATAATTACTAGTTATTTAATTTTTTTTTTTTAATTTATCAAATCAAAACACCATTTTAAAATCTTCAAGTCTTATAGTCTGGTTGGGTGAAAAGGGTTCGGATGATGAGTTAGTYGGTTACCTAGTGAAACGCTCATAATAGAGCTTTGCTGAAAATAACAATATAATCGAATARTGGACAATGGAGTAGGAAATTAAATTATATTAAAATAAGTAGGTGTACAAAATAATTAATATAACATTTTCACAAACCTAATGTACTACTAAATGAAAAATTATTAATGATTAACAATTTTCAGAGAAAAATAAATTAAATTTTGTTGAAGTCGTGTACCTATACTTTATTCAAGTCTTGTTAAATTTTAAATGTCACATCAATGTCCCGAGTGCATTTAATGACGTCCATGGAAAAAATAAACACAATACACCGGATGTATTTAGCACAACTACTAACCGGTTTTTATTCGCTTATTATTCGTTAACGGTTTGTGTCAAAAATGCACTCGTCGRATAAAACACATACTATCACGGYCATTGATTATTTAGTAATAAAAATTGTACCTATTTTTCATAATACAATTTTTACCTATTAATTGCTCATTATTATATTGTAAAAATCATTTTTCTATACACGTGTTGTTTGCATAGCTAACATACGGTTACAAAATGTGATAGTAATTGTATTCATTCGGTATTTCGGTAAATGTTTGGATATATTTTATATGTATTATGTACTTAAATAAATTTCAACAACATATCTTGTTACTTGTATAATTCACGCATAGTAATTATTAGTACCTATTGTAATTCTAAAGTAATTTCTTATCGTATTAATATTAAAGATCACATTTGATTATTTTATTGAGGTAACAAAGTATTTTTTAAAGTAAAACATACAATTGGTAGAGACCTACTTTAATTTGAAAGTTTTAAAAAGTTTTAAAAGTGCATGTGAACCATTGGAAATTTTGGGAAATCATGTGAAAAAACAATAATAGTATAAATTGTAGCATGAACTGATAAAGCGATATACCTAATTGAAATCATCCACCGAACAAATTTTTTTCCTGAAAAATGATAAACTGGCACGATTTAACAAATATTTATGTCGATTTCTGAGATTCGATATAATATTRTTTTTATTTTCAGATAATTATTGGTACCTACATTACACCATTTGCAAATTCGTCATATATTTAGCCTGAAGTTTTTGTATCACATATATTATAATAGATATCAAAAGTATTTTCAATGTTAATACATTTACCTATGTTATTACTATGATCATTGCTTTTTTACAATTTTCTCGTCAGTACATATATTTTTATCCAAGACATGAAAAATATCTAATAACTATTATTRTAGGTATTCATTCACCTTACGGAGTGATTAAAAAACATCTTTCKCGACACACAATAGAGTTCACTATAGCAAATGTCGGTGGTTCTCACATTTACATATTTTTGTAAGCACTATCAACTTCGTATAGTCTGACAAATGACTATTAATCGATTGCGAATTTGGTCATAACTCATAACACTATACTATATTATACCTATTGGCTGTATTTAATTTTGAATAAATATTACACAATATTATGTTAAGGTATTCATCGTATCTATTCTAAGAAAATTATGTGAATGTATTAAATATTTATTTAATAATATTACCTATACGTGCCGTTATAAAAATKATAATGATTAGGTATTGCATACGAACAAACGATCAATAATATTGGAAATAAATATGATACCTTTTATTATTTTATAATATATTAATTTAATATTAATACAGAATATCATGAATTATTACACTATTATTTAGATTTTAAAAGCTTATTTTAACTTGTAATATAGATAATATATACGTTTGCTGTCAAAGCGAAATTAACTATTATTACTTATAGTAATTTCTTTTACTCATAATATTTTAAGTAACAAACTTAGGACGTGTAYATCACCCATTTTTTACTCGTGTATAAATTAATTGTTCATAAAATGTATTGATTTGATAATGTAGAACATCATTATAAATTCATTGTTGTTATAATTTATCTAATAAATACATTATACAGGTGTTTTCGTAAACGTCACTACGGAATTATATAAAATAAAAATAATGTTATTTAGCTAGGTATTATAGAATGTGTAATACAATGAATAACTTTATTTATAGGTAATAATTTAAAATAATAAAAACAGATGTATTCAAAAACTTCCATAYTCGGAATTTGAAGAAATACTTTAAACTTAAATTACGAAAATTCATCGAAATCACGCGCTTGTACCTAAATTAAATAACAAACGAGTCGGTTAGGTTATGGTGGCAATTATTGACTATATTAATATGTAATATGTATCATACAAATCGTATTTTTTATAATGTAAAATACATTATAACTATAAGTATAATACTTTTTATCAATTCAAACATTATGGTAATTATATGCATATAATTTTAAGTCGTTGATATGAAACCATAACAGCGACGACAATATTTTCGAAACTATTGGAGAAACATTTTTCGTCGAAAACTCGTCGGTCACATGCGTTTTGGATGATTTAAAATGTTTAACATCATTCGATTACGATAATATTATGGTCAAAAATATAATATGATAAATCACATCATAGTGTTTTTATAACATGCGTGTTAGTGTACGAAATATGACGTATATGCATTACCTAACGTTTTCTTCGTCGGCCTTCATGACCGTCGAAAACCGSAAAAACAAAATCAAAAACTGGAATTTATGGTCGATTCGTACCTATACCTATATAATATATTATATTAATAGTAGAAATAATTTAAAAAAAAAAAATACTCAACAGTCAACAACAATACTCACGATAATTGAATACTTAACACTATTATTATTATGACAATCGCGACATTGTTATATTGATATCGGTTATTTCTATGTTGTTATACATTATTATTATAATATAATCGCTTTTGCCCGAGCGTACGAAACCGTGATGTGCAAGCGATTCGCCAACGGGATGATAGGGCGGCCAGCCAGCCGACACACACTCACGCGGCCTACACACATAATAATAATAATAATACATTATTATTAAAACAAGTATTTAAGCGAAAGGGGGGAGCTTTCCCGCCTCTCGGACTATGGTTCCTGCGGCAAAAAAAATCTTCCACTCCGACCGGCGTAAATAAAATAAATTGACGATTGCGCAAACAAGCGCGACGGTGCGCTACCACGCCAAAGACAATGATGTTATTACATTATATTTTATTAAATACTGCAACATAATTTATAGTTACCCGTGGAAACCAGCCGGAAGCGTCGGATCTCGGATGACAAAAAAATTATGMCCGATAGATCTGTATGATGATGGGTACGATGACACGATGTACTTGCATAAGTGCGACCATGGAGGAGACTTGTAACCTCCGAAAATTAGTAATAGCCCCCTCAAGATGAATCAATATTCGAATTCGTATAATATCAATTCAAAATGAATAAATAATAATAATGCACATTGCGTACCTAGTAAATTAGTGTATACCTACGTGACACGCACTGTACATGCAACGCCAATGCCGCGACGAAATCTCCTCGATAGACATAAGTAGGTAACTTCATATTAGACATTTTAAAATATCGTCACTAGCTTAATGTTCTGTAAAGTGTATATTTTATATTTTATTGCCAAGTTTTTTTTTTTTTTATTGATCTACTTCGTTGTGAATAACTCATTGGCTGCCCTCTGCAGGCCGTGTTCAGTCAAAAATAAATGTTTATAATGTACCAACTATGTTACTCTACCTGTAGGTGCCTATTGTCGTGTAATAATACCTACCTTTTTAAACATTTGATAAATGATTAATACATTTGACTTTAAATTTATTAAAGAAAACTTGAAACAAGACTAAAACATTTTCATGAATAATAACAATAAAAGAAAAATTAAACTAAAGTAAAAATAATTATTTTGTTATTTATTATTTGTTATTGCAGAAATAAGAAATGCGCCAATGCTAAGAGGCGAGAGCAAAGCTCTAATCGCTCTAAGAATTTWGGGACAGTTGTGCCATAGCTTTGTTCACATATTAATTTTTCAAAATATTTTTACATAACATTAAGACGTTCAAAAACAACTCATTTTTTAAAAAGGAAAAAAATAATTTTTCTTACTGTTATTTTTTTAACCACAACATGCATTTTTGATTCCTCATTCCAAAGCAGAATATTATTTTTAATACTTCAATACATAAATCATACACAGGTATCAAATTTTAGACTAGTATGGTCTATGMGAGTTATAATTATTTAAAGTTTAGATGAGTATGGAGTGAAAGGCATAAGGGTACCCCGAAAAATGTTGGACGTCTAAGGCACTACATTCAGCTCATATAGTCATATTACATTGAAATATCTATAACTTATAACTTATTAAAACTAAGACTAACTAATAAATTAGTTATCCATTATTTTTATTTTTGTAGATGAAATATTGTAAATTATATTTTCATTCAAAAGAGTAAAAATCTTCAAATTAATAACGATAACAAATAATAAAMTAATCATTATTTTTTTCAAAAATTTAGTTTAGTATCCACTTAAAATAGTGTACCCAAAAGAAATATTTTCAAAATGTTAGCAGGTACTTTTAAAATAAAATATATTTTGTATTAAACGAATTACCCCGTATACGAAAAAAAGTTATTAGGCGATCAGCATTTATTCCTAACGATAATAAGTTTATCTTATATTATTATATCAGTACATTAAAATTAGTGTTATTAATTTTCTTAATTAGGTAAATTTAACTAAGTTTTGTCAAATTTGGTATGAGTATAGGTTTGTAGTAGGTGTACAAATCAAAAAATTGATTTTTAGACAATATATGTATAATGTATAATATAAAAAGTAATAGTATAAATACTTAGTAAAAATTTCGTCTATACGGTTATTCATTTTTAAATATTACAACAGAAAACAAAATTGATTTTATAAATAAGTGGATTTCATAGTAGATTATAGTATTATATTCSTATTTAATTATTAATTTTATGGTTTTTCCCAATTCGTAAGATAAATACTGTGAATTTTCTTCTTTAAGCTATCGAAGATTCAGTAGTATCTTAAAAATTCAAAATTCAAATCTCTAAAAGTAATCAACCTCATCAAATAAATTATCTAGAAATGAAAATTGGAAGTAGTACATTTAAAACAATATAGCAACTTTAAAAATATTTTAAAAAATAAGGACACTCAAATYTATGCTTATAGAAATCGAGCATGTCAAATTCTTTCACGTTAATCATTTGAAATCACTCATGAACTAAAATACAAAAATATGATATGAGTGCTGAATTATTTTTGTCTCTAGTGACAAATGGCACACCACATAAAACCATTAATATAATAATTATGGCTCACGTACCTACTGGTTACACTCTCTTCCTACGTACTTCTAGTTTRCTAATACCCAAACTTAAACATGACTAATGCAACCATAATATTGTAAATTTAAAAAAACACGCTCACTTATTTTTACATTAATATTATTTAATATAATAGTTGACCGGCAGTTTGTTAGCGTGTAATTTTTAAAATGTTAACATTAAATCGATATTATATATTAAAACAGATACTTCTCATTCGATTCAAGTCACTTTTCAATGGCGTACTTTACATTCAATTATAGGATTGTTTGAACTACGAGGAACACTCAAGATATATTTTTTGAAAATAACATTTTTGTATTTGAATGAAGAATACATCACCCATCATATGTTCTTTTTTTTTATTGTCCGTTAATATCCGTCATTAGTTTTAAAATAATCAAATTAATTTTATATTTTGACCAGATAAAATATTATCAAAAGATCACATAATAGGTATTCAAAGTAAAACAAATTATACCATGATTATAATGAAAAGAAAATGCGTTTATTTCGTCTAACTACAATTTCCAGATTCCTTAAATACAAATTATACAATMAAATAGTACAGAATAAAAAGTTAACTATGTAAAAAATAAACATTTAAATCGGCCTTGGTAGCCATGTAGTCAATAAACAGTCGACAGTCCAAATAATAATGGTTATTAAGTGTTAACTTATTCAAATATATGTATCAATTAAAAAAAAACTATCCACTCCATAAAATAATAATAATGATTCGCTATTTAAGCAGCGGTCTTAGCTAGTGACTTTCTTGGTTCCAAACTTAATTTGAATCCATCAGTCCTCTTTAAGATAATGTCAGCTTGGAGTTTCCAATCTTTTTCGGTTAGATTACTATTTATTTTGAAGTTTCGTAGGATGGTCGACAAAATAATTTTTAATTTTAACATAGCGTATTTGCGACCTGAAAAAAAAAAGAATTAATTAATGACAATTAATACAATTATTAACCATCATAATATATACGCGCAACGATATAAAAACGAAACTTTTGCATAAAATACAATTGAAAATATGATAAATTATTTATAAATTTGATTCACGAAAGGTTCTGAAAAGGTTAATAATGAAAATATATGTATACTTTTATACTTTAAACTTTAAGTGGAAATCTGAATAAGCAATTAACCGACCTCAACCTTATTTTAATACAATTGTGTTTCATATCGTAAACAAGTCAATTTTTAAATGTTTAGTTTGATGCTAATTAAAATTGTGTTTATTAACGAATTATTCTTTAAATAAACATAGTATATTATACACTACTACTTTTTGACCGTGGTTTGAATCVAGTTCGTAATAACGAACAACGATTTATCCAAAACATAAAACATAGTATATTATACACTACTACTTTTTGACCGTGGTTTGAATCGAGTTCGTAATAACGAACAACGATTTATCCAAAACATATCCATATTATAATAATTCGGAATTCGAAACAGAGTATACTGTGGTASATAGGTGTATGATAAATTAAACGGAACTTAGTATTTTAAAATAACATCGCTATAATATAATGATGTAATGACATACCGACGCAACTTCTTGGCCCGGCGCTGAACGGAACGTAAGCATAATAATGGCGGTTGGCCGATTTTTCTGGTAAAAAGTTATCGGGGTTGAACACTTCGGGATTGGGGAACACATCTTCGTTGCGGTGGATTTTGAACGTGGCGATGATGATCGTGGCACCAACTGGCAAGGTTATGTCTCTAGAGGCTACACAAATAAAATAATCGGTTATTACAATAATTTATTTTGACAAAAGTATTTTTTATGTGCTCGAGGTATTGATAATAGTAATTTATTGTACGGATTTCGGGCAAGACGTGGCATTTAGGCAAAACAAACATACGCGTAAAACTGTTCTCAAAATGCCCCCCAATGAGGGAGGGGGTTGGCAAGAGAGTTAATTATAAAAATTAGACGTAAGTGTTTGAAATGAGCTAGAACTGAGAATCGACTGTAAGGYCTTTGGTTGTAGAACATAATATTATTATTGTGAATTATAATATTATATACTACTGGATGGAGGGTGGTCAGTTATTAACGAGTGATTTTATGGACAMACTTACGAAGTTTCACTTTCTCTTTAATTTGCCTTGAGATAATCGGAACTGGAGGATACATGCGCAATGTCTCCATGATGCACCTTTCCATGTATTTCATTTGCAATGTGTCTTGGAACGTTACCGGTCTATCGGAATCGCCGAATATAGAGTACAGTTCATCGACGACTTTTTGCTAGAACAAAAACACACAGAAATCAACATGATACACTTCTATCCGACATAGATCGAAAAATTATTAATGGTGAGCAAGCCTTACCTGTACGTCTTGGTGAGCACCCATCAGACACAAGAAGAAACTACTACCAGCTGCTGTTGTGTCGTGGCCCTAATAAAAAAAATAACAGAATAATATAAACGTTACAGTTTTCAAAAATAGCAATTGTATGTTATGTTCAAGTATATGAAAGCATTGAATGACTGAAAAAGTAAAAATGTTTAATGCGGGAGAAGAAATTAATCAGAAATGATGATTAATTATTAAC